TAAAAATTTAAAACATATCATAGTTATTTAAATAAATTGTTTTTTTTTTTCACTTATAAGGTAAAATAAAATAATTAATACTATGTTAAGTCCTCGGAAATTGTAATTTTAAATAAAAAATGTATTGTGAAATATCATGGCAGTTTTCCCCACTTCTTACACATAAATACATTGTACATTATTAAATTAGTTCGGAATCTGCATCTATGTGAACACAGCATTATACTTTATAATTAAGACGACAAGCGTAAACAATTAATTTAACATAACCACGTAACAAATAATAAACATATTATGTACTAATTAATTATTACTAACTACAAGACTTGAAAAAAAAAAAACAATAATGTTCAAGCATCCATACATTAAGTAACTACATATCATATATTAGACGTTAATAAAATAATAAGTTACATTATTAAAACTTTATTTAATTTAATTAAATTTTTGTTTGAGACGTAGTTAGGTACTTAAAGACATAATTAATATAATAAAAAATATAATAAATTAAAAATGATTAATATCATAATACTATCATAATACTAGAACTCTAGGTTCATTTAGAATGATACATCGCATTAGTTTCTAAAAACCTAAAATACTATTTGTTTGATTTTATATGGTTATGAAAATATTATTATTATTAATAAATAATATACCTATTCAAAATATGGTTAACACAATAAGTAATCTGTAGTAAGTTTTTATTACAAGAAAACAATGTCTATAAACCTACAACTAATGTTTAAATTAAGATAGAAAACGTGTTTCAGATCGGTAAAATCGCTCCAAAATGTCACATAGCATATGAATTAATTGGAAAGGTTTTTTTTTTAGCATAAGGGCGGTAACGATCCGTGTTGAATCCATTAAAAGAAAAATATAACATATTATGTAACCGGTTCTATAATATATATTATAGTAAAACATAATGTAATATACAATGTTCAACAAATAAGGAAATTGGAAGGGATGACATCACAATTACGATTCCACATAAATACGGATAATCTAAAGTGAACAGAATTAGTCACACACAACGCGAATACATTTCTGCAAATAACACTTACGAAGCATAGTTCATAGACTATCACACACAAGATGGCCGTAAAGGTATGTGTTACAGTTCGTTCCGAAACTTTTTTACATGGACCGAACATAGTTCACATAAGACTCGCATTTTAAATGACAATGATAATATTATGTTTTACGATTCAATGTACAAAAGAGAGAGAGAGAGAGAGAGAGAGAGAGAGAATATAGTTATATTTTTAAAATATAGACGGTGAGTATAATTCATTTTTGTTTTCAGATGATCATTTTTGCCGCCTGCGTAGCCACCGCTTTCGCTCAATACGCCGCACCAGTAGCTTACAAGCCTGTTGCTTACTCAGCATCACCAAAGGCTTACGCCCCAGAGCCCGTATACGCACCCACACCGTACAACTTCGAATACAGCGTAAACGACCCACACACCTACGACGTCAAGAGTCAATCCGAATATAGCGACGGCAACGGTTACGTCAAAGGCTCTTACAGTCTTTTGGAAGCCGACGGTTCCACACGCACCGTTGAATACACCGCCGACGACTACAACGGTTTCAACGCCGAAGTCAAAAACTCCGCCCCGGCCTACAAGGCAGCTTACCCTGCACCAGCTTATCCAGTACCAACTTACCCTGCACCCGCATACTCGGCGCCAGCTTACAAACCAGCACCGTACAAGGCATATTAATCACTTCCCCATTGAACTCAATCATTATCGATCTCATCGTAGATCATGATGGTCGTTAAGTCGTCTTATGAATTGTAATCTCATCATTGTTTAGCGAACAAATATTATGTAAAATATATTCATTTCTTAAATGTGTTTATTTTGTAAATAAATAGTGAATTTAAAAAAAATATGTGAACGTATATACTGAGCATTTATTTTTTTATTGTATATAATTAAATTATATTTACCTTAAACTTTGTAATTTACGGATCATTGGTTGTTAACCAGACTATAAAAAAAAGCAAAAAAATAATTGAATAAACAATATGATATCGTAGTAGAAAATAAATTCAAAAATCGACTGATAAAATATATAATATGCACCATAATGCTGACTACAGAAGTATAAATTAAAGTGGGTTGCCCATGCGAAAATTATAAATAGTAATTCATTTATTTTAATTAAAAAATAAATCAAAAACCCCCATCTTATAAAAAGTTAGTTTACCAAATTATTGTGCTTACTCAATGCATTCAACAATGAGTTAATTAATAAAAACATTGTTCCCGTAATACGTTTATACGGACATTTTCCCATACCAGTTACCTCGATAATTAAAAAATAATAATAAAAAGTTATTATTCTGGACTTATATTTGAATAATTTTTTTTTTATTTCTTAACATATATGAACATTATTATTTTTCATATTAGACTGAGCGAACTGGGTAGAGTGTAGAATGTATTGATTTTACAATGAGGTATGTCTTTTTTTTCATGTAATATGTGTTTGTGTATACATCTTATAGCAGAAAAAATGTTTCAATCTCAACTTTGAAGTTTCTAATAGCAAATCGGATGTAGTTGGACAACATTGAAAAATTCGAAACTTAATACACCTGTGTAAAAATAGTTTTTAACGACATTTTTTTCAAATATAATTTAAAAATACGTAACTTTAGAGACTTACATTTATTACTATATTTTCAAAATATTATACCTATAAATATGTCGTTCTTGTTTTTACTATTTGTTAATACTTGAAACTTTGGAATTTAAAACATTTTGGTCGGTTAAAATTTTTATCTGAGTGTACATAGTCAGAGTGTCATGAGTGATATTTATATATCGATTCAAATAATTTCTATATTTTTATAAAAATATGGCGAGAAACAAAATAACAAAAAAAGTAACTGTACATTTTTTTTGACTTATGATCAATACTCATACGCCATACACGCTTGATAACTTAACTTAAGACATAAACGGTTATAGTTAAATTATATATACATTGGTTTGGTATTTTGATTTATTATTAATAAACAATTTTGAAATTATTTTATTTTATTTTGTTTTTATTTGAAGTTGAGTGATGAAACAAATAATGGAACAGTTTTTAAAATTCAATAACAGTTTATTAACACATCTTAATATAATTTGTAAGAACACCCACTAGTTCGTACATCAAAACTTATGTCTTAACAATGTGCAAGGAATGTTTTTATTTTATTTTCTATACTAAATATAAACATCTTGTATGTTAGTGCATAATATACCATGCGAATGCTCGTTCGCAACAATTTGTGATGTAATCGTTTTCAATAATATTTATATATTGTATACACACACACACATATTCTTTTTTTTTTGCTCTAAACCTCTAAAGGTAAAAGAAAACATTGTTCAATGGTTATAAAATAATATTTATTTTCCATATTCAATAAATAATATTTCCTATTTTTATTTAACAATTATATAAAAATATTTTCTTTTACATGCTGTGTATGTGCCCAAGTATATGTGATTTGTCTGATATAAAGTTTTCCTAGTTTTTGGATTTTAAGTTTTGTAATGATAAAATCATATGATATATAATATATACACATATATTTTGTACGTTGTACAAATTTTGTCGAAATTATTAACTAAAAATCAAACACTGCTGATTGGAAAGTTACCAAATAATATTGATATAATTGTCACAAATTTATATTCATTGTATTCATAATTGTAATTTGTATTCAATCCCGTTTATAACATATCAATAAATCGATGCAAGACAGTGAACGAAATATTATGTCTGTATACCATAGCAGGTAATTTTTACACATTATATAGTACAACAGATTTTCAAAAAGCCTAAAGATAATTTTGGTTTTAATACTATAATCTAGGTTGAGCGAATCTGTAAAGTTATTAGATATTTTTAACGTGTCAAATCAGAAATGTTGTTAAATTTATCACCAACATTAATAGTTAACCAATATTTATGAATTACAACGTTTTTAAAACCTACTCATGTATGTATTGCGAAGCGTTTATTACATACCTAGATAATGAACAGTTTATGCATATACCACAGTGTTTCAATCACACCATTGATTTAATATTAAATTAAGAAAGTATGATGTTAAATTGCTTATAAAATATATTCACGTCAATTCCGTACACATATCTGCAAATAGATGATGTGTTGTACTATCCGTAAGTATCAGTTTAGGTTAAGTGTTGGCATGCTCATATGAATTATCGAAGAAACCAAAGTAAATAATAATAATAATAATAAATGCTATATTAACTATGGGCTCAAAACCGCGCCGTCATCGTAGGAGAAAAACAACCTCTCGTACGTCGCTGCTGCTAAACTAGTGTATGAGCGGCGCGCTCCGCCAAGCTTATTTTTACACTTACTCGAATAGCGTAATTGACGATCATTGAATTTTTTTTAAAAAATGTATTAATAAAATAAAAATAAATCGTTTTTAGTTATAATGATTATCATTAAAAAGCATAATATTCGAGATAAAAGAATACTATTAGGAAAAACAGTTTGCAGGTGACATAAAAAATATTATATATTCATACATCATACTCATATAAATTTGCATATATTCAAACTGTATAAGACTATACATGGTAGGTAGGTGTATGAAATATAAAATTATCTGATAAAAAACATGCCTGATTAAACGGTACTAATATCATACTCACGCGTTTCAGTTTACACTGTTTAGGTTAAAGCGCGTGCCGCTCTTAAGATAGCGTGTATTTAATGATTTATTGTAAATAGATTGTTCAGGTGTAATAATTGATTTTTTTTTTTTTGATTTTTTAACAAACTTGAACCATATTTAAACTAATTTAAATTGAATGTGTTAAAAATGCAATGTACACAGCGCGGGCGTCTCCTCCGCTTCAACCGGTTCTTGTACAACGCGATGTGGTGACTGCCCAAGAGTACATTGTTCACTATGTACGACTGGGAGGGATGAGGCGACAAATTTTCAGCTTAAATACCATGTCTTCGGTCTCCATATTCACCAGTTCACTTCTGTCCACAGTCGTCGAATACTTTGACAAAACAACAACAAAACACCACTAAAATGGCCGCTAAGGTAAGTCGAGATTGTCGTGATTCGATGTTTTAAAACGTTTGGTTTTCAAACGGATCGATTTTTCATTTATAAACTTCTTCGGTGTAATAAAATAATTGTTTTTAAACTCTTGTCTTACGTCGTTTTACAGTTCGTCATCCTCGCCGCTTGCGTGGCTACCGCTCTCGCCCAATACTCTGCCCCGGCCTACAAGCCAGCTTACTCGGCACCGGCTTACTCCGCACCAAAGGCTTACGCTCCAGAACCCGCATACGCCCCAGCCCCATACAACTTCGAATACAGCGTAAACGACCCACACACCTACGACGTCAAGAGCCAATCTGAATACAGCGACGGCAACGGTTACGTCAAAGGATCCTACAGCCTTTTGGAAGCCGATGGTTCCACCCGTACCGTCGAATACACCGCTGACGACTACAACGGTTTCAACGCCGTCGTCAAGAACGAAGGTGGATACAAGGCCCCAGCCTACTCCGCACCGGCCTACAAGCCAGCATACTCTGCCCCAGCCTACTCCGCACCAGCCTACAAGCCAGCTTACTCTGCACCAGCTTACTCTGCACCAGCCTACGCTGCCCCAGCTTACCCAGCACCAGCATACTCTGCCCCGGCCTACAAACCAGCATACAAACCAGCATACTAATAACTTCCTTAGTCATGTGAACCAACTCTCTTCTTCATCTCTTTTTTTCATGTTTTCTTCGTGTACCTCTGGGCCATCGCGTTCATATTGAACCGTGGTTGCAAAGTCATACATTGCCATATTAATATAATATAAGACAATGGGTACGACTTGTGTATTTATTGTGTAAATATATATATCAATGTGTATTTATTGAATATCACTGTGTTTTTTTTTATTCTCATTTATCCCTAACGCCTTACAGATTTTATTATATCAATCGAAGTGTACACTTCAGCCATTAGTAAAATGTCGGAAATGTATTTTTATGAAATATCTTATCGAATTCAGGTATCTATATTGAATTTGTGTATTTAGCGTTCAAAAAAATAAATGCATAACAACTTGAAACTGTAATATATAGTTTAGTTTGGTGGATTTGATATTTTTAGACTCGTATAAGAACATATTTTATCATCGACTTTGATTAAAAATATAACATGTAATTGTAAGTATTAGTACCTTCATAGTTTAATAGTAAAAAGGATTTCAATAAGACTCATAATATTTATTGAAATAAAAAAAGTATTATCAATGCATAAAAAGTTATTTTTTGCTTCATGAGATAAAAATGATCTAGTATACACTTTTTCGGATAATAGAAATATTTTAAAAATTATGTAAAAAGTGTAATGTATAAATTATTTATAATTCATATTATTTTATAATGCATTATTTTTTTCCATTTTAGATTTAGAATACAAAAATAAAAAAATATTTATATACTCATTCATTAAAAAAAAAAAAAATAATAAGTTATGAAAAATGATAGTATGATAGTAATTTATCTACTGATTGTCTATTATAATATAATAAATTACTAAATGTATATATTATGATTTTGATTTTTTAGACAATAATTATAATATTATTATTTTAAATAAAAACTCTTTAATTAGATACTTAGTACTTGTCAATCTAATTTAACTTTTGAATATATTTAATTATTGCTCTTTTTTTCTAATTTTTCTTATTTTATATAATTCGAGTACTATTGCATTTTATAAATTTAAAATTCATAATTATGATTGCATAACAATTTATAATAATATTCTATACATTTGGCTTAAATGGGCAAAATAAGAGTAGTTACACAGTTGATTAACTTACAGTCGTCTGTTTATATCTATTGTAAATAGTTATCAGTATTACAATGAAAAAAATAAATAATATTTGACATTTATACATCAAAGAATTTATTTTTTGTTTTCTCTCTCTCTTTAGCATACATTGAACATATACAAAACGCATTCAAATAAAATAATTTTTTTATATTGTTGATTAATTTTGGAATAAAATAATATTCGTTACAAAAATTATAGAGAATAGTATTTATGAGGTATTTTTTTATCAACTCATGCTTTATCCGTTTAAATTAATATTTTGTTTATTATTTTTAAATTAGAATATGTATGGTTTAATAATAATAAAATATAAAATCGATATTTTAAATGTTCAAAAAATGTATACTCAATACTCATGGTTATTACATTAAATTATTTTACTCTATAATTAAGTAGGATTTCAAAATACTCAAAAACCACAAAACAATTGTTTATGTTAATTTGTAAACATTAGATTCCGTCTATGTGGATCTGAGAAAAAAAATTGCACTTACATCTACTTAACTAATTTGTACTAACTTAAATTTAAGTTGGAAAATGGTAAGCATTTAATTTTTGAAGAATAATACGTAAATAAGATATAGTTTTCGGATCCGCATATTAATTTGTTATTATAATACTTGATGAATGCATTTTAACTAGAACAGTATAAATTTGGTCTTACTAACTCTAGGAGCGATTACACTAATTCGCCCACACTAACCTATATATGTATATATATATAAATTATACACTTATTATTACTTAATGACTAACACGCATGTATTATTATAGTATATTATTTGATATCCATTCATCGTCATTCGTCATCATGCTCGTACGCATTAATATTACACATTCAAATTATACGTACAAGCGCTGCACATATACACTCGTTTGATCACTCTGAGGTCATATTCTCTCAGAGTCGTTTGTCTTACATACCACTGTGGATTGGTAAGCTGGATTGCGCCGATCTGTTATTTTAAAGAAAATGAAAAACAGTCAAATATGATTGACGCCCAGCCGGTACATAATAATACATAAATGGGGCGTAAACGATATAATATAATGTCATTATTTATACATTATCGGTTGTAACCGATGCGATAAACTATATAATATTATGTTACACGTATTAGACAGTCACACACAGACGCGCGTCTATTACACGTTAGTTGTTACACTTTTTTTTCTCACTGTTTTATTTTTTTTTTTTTTTAATTAATATCGGACGGGCATGGCGTGGTGAAGGTATACCGATTCTTAAAATTGAATTACAGACGTAAAAAGTATCGCCCCGAGTGACAATATTACGGGGCGTTGTTAGCACTATAAAACAAATAGAGGTGTATAAATAATCTGTAATAATTGTTCCGTTGACAAACATTTATTTTACGCAAAAAATAGTTCAAGCTCTAAAATTATAATTATTGTATGATAAAATGTTTAAAGGATATTATGTTATGTTATGTTTTTTTTTTATTTTTTTTAATCACAATCGACCATTACTAATATTTGTTGTCAAATTTTACATTTCGTATAAAATCATATTTAAAAAATATGTCTGATATCAAAAAATAATTATATGATAATATTATAAACAACACATAGCTTTATATTAAAATTTATTAGCTTATAAAGTTTATGTTTTAAAAATATAATATTGTGCAAGTATACATTTTAAATCAAACAGAAATCATAAAAGAAAAAAGTTTCCAAATGCTAATATTTTCTGTGGTTGTTATTTGTAAGATATCCTATTTTCTATAAAGAAAAATGTAACTCTGCAAGTCAGAAAAAAGAAGTTGTAAAATAAAAATAATGTACAGGCACCAGTCATCAAAATGACTAACGAGTAAACTAATTAAATAAAATCTATTTTATAATGCTCTGTACATTTTTGCATATCTACTGATTAAGTTGCACATAGACTTCTAGATAAATATAAACGGTTATATACGATCATATATGCATGTCCCTTATAATAGCACGATCACATACGATTTATCTACGTGTACCTAAGCCTTAAAAATATTACGAATGCATATGAAAATGAATGTAACATTACATATTATATGTAATGTTGTGTATGCATATTATATGCCTACACTACTTGGTATTGAGTATTAATAACAATATTAATATTTTCAAATAAACATAGTAAATTAACTTTTAAGATGTTAAGTAAAATGTATATACTTCTATTAATTATATTATTCAATTAGGTTTATATTATACAAAATAATAATAATAATAGTATAATTTAAAAAAATTCTAATAATTTAAACTATTAAAATAAAACCAATAGTGTACAGTCAGTGAAATATATATTATAAAAATTATATAGTAAAATAAAAATACAAATTATAAATTAAAACCTTGGTATCAATAACCAGTCCCCCTAACGTGTTTAACACTGGGAATAATAATAATTATAGTAACGTTTATGAAACTTTATCAAAAATAAGCAATAATTTCTGTAAACAAATTTTCACAGTATTGTGAACAAAAGCAACGATATACAACGTTTAGGTTAATAAAACGTACGCAATTGTAATATTGAAAAAGTCCATACGCAATCGTAACACATCCAATATTAATTTATTCACTTTAATTATTGAAACAAATTTATTTCCATTTGTGTATTAATTAATATTGCTGATATTTTTTTATAACATGTAGAATATTATAAAAAATACATTTTATTTATATGTAAATTCGAATCAATTGATCTTCGTGAATTCACACATAATTATTTTGTCCATTATTTAAAAAAAAATATATATATATTAAAACTGTTGATAATATCGTTGAACGTGTTACATAAATTTAAATTAATAATTTCTAATGTTTTTTTATAAACAAACCGTATTAAAAACAACATATCTTATATTAACATCTAATGTAATAATATTTTATTTACTAAGTTAAAATCCTATTTTAACTCTTTCTCAGAACGTAGAAATTCTAGGTACTATTCAATGTCATTAGACTGTACGACAGAACAACACATTGTTATATAGCATTAATGTTATACACTAAAGCTTTCTAATATTTTAGAGCCAATACCTTAATAGATGATTTTTTTTTTTTTTAAATCAATCCATCTAATGGATTTTTTTTTATTCTAGCTATCACAATAATAGTTATAGGTATACAGAATTTTTCTTCGAATAAAAACCGTTTCATACATTATAAACGTTTTAAATAGAAAAAAAATATTACCTAAATCAAAAAAATTCTAAAGTATTAAGTCTTTTTGTGTTATTATGTGCATTAAATATAATTATTTAACATAATCATTAATAATACCATTTATTAAAAACGTTTTTGAATTTTAAACGCATTTAAGTCAGTATAGACATAAATCATATTTATAAGCAAGGTATGACATTCATGTATTGAAAAACGTATAAATAATCTTTCAATAATGTACTAAAACTTCAAAATTATGCATTTATATTCGCTAAAAATCTAAGATAATTAATTAGTCTAAACTTTTTTTTTGAATATCTGAAACTTTATTTATTTTATAATAAAAAATGTACCTATTGTATTTGGTAAAAAAAAATATTAAAAATAATTTATTGACAAAGTGATATGGTTGAAATAATTTTTAACACACGCGACTTCACAAAAACTAAACAATAAACATATTGCTAGTAAAAACATTTTTTAAAATATGTGATTGTAAATGTACAAGAAGTACGGCAAGTACATATATATAGACTTACATAATTTTATTATTGACTGCAGTTGAGTCGTCGATACACGAGATCTATTTATAAACCTATCTTTAAAGTATGAAAATATAAAATAATATTTTATATCATATTGTATTATATAATTAATACAACTTCTATGACGTAATTTGTTTGTCTTAATTTTTACAAAATAGCATAATAATATTATGAATTTATTATATTTTAGCTTTAAAAATTTGCTTTCAAATAAGATACTGAGCAAATCTAATTAAGCTCAAGTACAAGTATGCATTTGTACGTAAATACGTCAAATTGTGATATATAATTATAAACTAGATATTACAAATATTATAAGCTATTAAAATGTTTCAAAGCATTATGGCATCAAATGTTTTATTTTATTCTGTAGTTTTAGATCAGATTACTTAATTTTACTCATATTTAAAAGGAATAAAATTCCATGTAATGCTATGTAGTTACCTATGTATAATAAAAAAAAACCTTTATGGTATGACCGGTTCATACATACAATATGACGTGAAGAAATAACAGTTTGGAGGGATAAGACAATGTGTACGCTTCGACATAAATATAGAGACAGAGACACCATTTATCAGTTGACAGTTATCGGGATAATTGTTCACGTACATCTTAAATCTACTAACGTAAACAGAATACGAACATATGACAATGGCTGTCGAGGTATAGTAAAAACCCAAAATAATTTAATTTAGTTTATAGTTTATTGTAATTACGAGTCCATCAAGGATTGTTATGTATCTATCATTTGAATATTCGTCATATGTGAGATATAATCGAGTATTGTCAGATTGTCGTTGGTATTATATAGAAATAGAATAATATAAATGAATCGCCAATATATAATCGAACGTGAAACATTGTGATGAGATTACTCGTATTTCTTATGATATTCTACCCGTCGTGACAGAAGACGTGCTATTAAAATCTAACAGACCTTTTTTTTTTTTTAGATGATCGTTTTCGTTACATGTCTGTCATCCGTCCTGGCTCAATACGTCGTACCGGCATACCCCGCTTACCACGTGACATCGGCAAAAGCTTACGTACCGGTAGAACCCGTCAACGTGCCGACGCCGTACAACTTTGGGTATAGCGTGAACGACCCAAGCACTTACGACGTCAAGAGCCAGGCTGAGTCCAGCGACGGCAACGGTAACGTAAAAGGCTTTTACAGCCTTTTGGAAGCCGACGGTTCAACGCGCACCGTCGAGTATACCGCCGACGACTACAACGGGTTCAACGCTGTCGTCAAGAAGGAAGGCGGATATGCTTCCGATGTCGCTTATAAACCTGCAACAGCACCGTACAAGTTGTACTGAGAAAGAGAAATAGAGTGACGACCAATCGTCACCGCGACCTTCGTCCTCGACTGTAATCCACGTGCCACGCACGTTTCCGGTCGCGTCGCTGTTGACACATATCCAGTCATTATACTATTATATTATATATTATTATTATACCTACACGTTCTGCAGCTAGCAGCTATTGCATGGACAGCAGTTCACGTACCTACATATACTCATATAACTATAGGTCATTAGAGCGGTTCGTACACTTTAAGATAATTATTATTAGTTACCTTGTAAATAATTATAAGCTACGATTTATCTGAAACCAATATGTAGTTGATAGTTATTTGTATATTATGTACGTTTATCCACTGCAGTTTTTCGTGCTATATTATTATCATTTATTATTAAGCTATTGACACAATATAATAATATATTACCTACCTATAGTTTAAACTGAAAATATGCATTTTTTATTTCAATATCACATTGTGAATTGTAATCAAAACCAACTAACAGCATCAATTATTAATCAAATCAATAACGTTTTCTAAAAAGTCAATTTTGTGTTCATGAAAATATATTATGATATATAATTCACCTGATTACTCATACTTACTCTTTAAATATAATATACTTCTTATTGTCTTGAATACAAAAAAAAAAAAAAATTATCATAACATAAGTTTAAATTTTAAAAAAATGTTCAAACTGAAACAAAAAGTCTTGATAATAGATTTATAATTGTATATCGATGGTTATTTTAATGGCATATATTAGTAGAATTTTTAAATATCATTTGAATTAAATTATTTTATATTTTATTGGCTGCATAAAATATACGATGGTTTTCATTATGAATTAAACATGTTTCTAAGACATACCATCAAAGCAAGTGTTTTAGTTATTATGGTACCTCATACAATTATGGTTATAATTGAGTATTCTTAGTGGAATGTCATTCTGCTTTGTATTTTATTTTAATCCTACAAATCTGCATAAGCCCCCTTGATTACAAAACATCAATCACAAAGATGAATCTTTAATACAATTTTATTTCATCCAAGATACATGATAATAAACTATGATACATGACGTATACTAAACAATATGATTAGACTAAAAATTATTACCTAGTTAAATAAAATCAAAAACATTTTTTACAAGCTATTTCTGAGAAAATATTACACAATCAAGACGTATTACATACGTTTTTATTGTTTTCAATAACAAAATATAAAAAATTTGAAAATTCCAACTGTAATTCATTTAGTATTAAAATAATATATTACAAATAATATAATAGCATTAAATTTATATTTATTATTGAAAAAAAAGTATTTAAATTACATATTCGATTCGGTAGAAACTGAAAATGTATACTCAACATTAGTTTTGCAATGTGGTAATTTATAAATATTGTCAAATTATACGTACACATGTAAAAATATTAAACAATATTATTTCAATGTAGCTAAATCAAAAACGTGTAGGTAGTACTATGCATCTTGCTTATATTATTGTTATTTTTATAATTAAATTAAGTCTAAAGTAAATGTATAGAACAAAATAAGGCTATTCTAGGAAAAATATCTTTATATTGTTGCAATAATAACTCAATAAAGTTTGACTACGAATAACCGAAATCAAAACAAAATGCGTATTTTATTAAAAATTAGTTCATCAAAACTGGCATATATGAATACACTTAAAACTATCATTAGACATAATATGGTTTTATGAATACATCAAATGGATATTAAACATAAATTTAATACCTAAACTTCGTGTAAAACATTCAAGGAAAATGAAATAACTAATAATTAAAAAATCTACTTTCAAAATGTTAGTGTCAAATAATTGTATCATAATATATGATGTTATAATAATAGTTGGATAATTATTTCACCGGGCAAAATTATTGAACTACATTGACTAACCGGTCTACTACCAATTAATATTTGGTAACGACTAAACATGGAGGGAAAAATTACCTTCGATACTTCTGTATAAATACTCTACATTCGATGAGGATTATCACCAGTTACTTCTCTCTTGTTCATTTGATCAAATCAAAAAATCAAAAAAAAAAAACACATCAAAAATGGCCGCTAAGGTAAAACAAATCGTGAACAGTCTTCACGTATACATTTTAACGTTTTCGTGTGTTAAACTGCACCGATAACATGAATATTTTTTTTTTTTTGTTAATCAAAATGTTTGTTTATGTTTTTTTCAGATGATCATATTCGCTGCCTGTGTGGCCACCACACTCGCCCAATACGCTGCCCCGGCTTACCCAGCACCCGCTTACTCAGCACCAAAGGCTTACGCCCCAGAACCCACATACGCCCCGAAACCATACAGCTTCGAATACAGCGTAAACGACCCACACACCTACGACGTGCACAGCCAATCCGAATACAGTGACGGATACGGCAACGTCAAAGGAACTTACAGCCTTTTGGAAGCCGACGGTTCCACCCGCGTCGTCGACTACACCGCTGACTCCTACGGATTCAACGCTGAAGTCAAGAAAATCGACGGTGGATACAAGGCCCCGTACAGCGCCCCAGCTCCAGCCTACAAATCTGCCCCAGCCTACAAGCCAGCTTACTCCGCACCGGCTTACTCCGCACCATCTTACTCCGCACCATCTTACTCCGCACCAGCTTACTCCGCACCAGCTTACTCAGCACCCGCATACTCTGCACCAGCCTACAAACCAGCCCCATACAAGGCATATTAATTCCCGAACAGAAACAATTCCGACTGTGTCACCAACCCCTTTCGCTAAGTCAAATTCTCATCACTGAGAAATGACTCTCCTTCTCACTTCATCAGAACATGTTTAATTTATTCGATTGTTAACTTATTTATCAAATAAATAATAAATTATTTGATTTATATTACAAATCGCTTGTATTTTATCTTCGCCTACCTGTGACCATATTTTAATTTATCGTTTTTAAAGCGTTCTAGATAGAGCACTGGAACTTTAAAAATTTAAGTGGTTAAAGCTTATCGAAATAAAAAAGAAATCAAGGTCTTATATACAATTTATTGGTGTATTGATGATATCAGTACAAATAATGTATTAACGCATAGAAAATAAATACATAATTCTATAAGAATTAATAATATCAATCTTCTTCAAATATGTATTTAATTTTTATGATACGTAGTAATATATATTTTTATAACGAAAATGGTTTGACAGAAATGATAGAAATTGTCAAACTATATCATCATATCGTCTATATAGTTATGGTTATTGTAATTTTAATCATACTAGAAACATCAGTATCTAGTATACTATTATATTTATAATTCATTGAATATGCGTTTTATATCTGTAGTTTGTGAATTCAGATACCAATCTAGTTTATGCTTTCGCACCTTATAGCTATGGAAAATGATGTACGACTTAGTTCCCACGCTGGCCACTTTATTAGTAATGCTTTCATAGTTGGACGTGCAATAAACTATATTATTTGTTAGGGGTCGTATGTGGTATGCACATAAAATATGTACATGACTGTGCTTATTCGAAAATAAATAAAACAGCTTGGTATATTATGGCTTTTACAAATATTAGTGATCAAAACATTTACATTTTTTTAGAACAAAAATATGTTTCTGAAATAATATATTTTTAAAAATATAGCCAGTTTCCATCTCTGTTTTTGTAATATTTGTAATAAAATTATAATAACCTTATTTTGTTAAGTCTATTTTAGTTAATTAATTAATTTAGAAAAATATTAATGTATTTTAATTATTTAAATTTTTTAAACTAAACTCTGACATTAAATTAAGACCATAATAATATTAATATGTAAAAAAAAAAATATTTCTAATTTAAATTTTAAATTAATATACTTGCATTAGATAGTAAAAAATAAAATAAAACTTAAATTTAAATTTAAAATTAATTTGGTTTGTTAATGATCAATTCATTTATTCTTTTCTTCGAAAAATTGCCTCACAGCAGTATTACAAAACATTAAAACAAAAATAAAATATATAAATAACAAACTATAATCAGAAGAAATCTATTTCTTCGATTTAATATCATATCAATTTTTGTGTTACATAATTGAGTATTTTAAAAATTTAAAAACAACTAATCATTATTTATTAAATTGTATCATAATCTGTTCAAGTCTTGTATCCTTAATAATGATTCATTATTATATGCACATATTATAAATACACATTACGGAATAACAATAAATGACTACAGAGTAAATACATTTTTGAATAATAAACACTAATTAAATCTTTAAAAGTATATAATATGTTTTGGAAATATTCATTGTTCATTATTTCAAAAAACCAAAACAATATTTTAGAAAAGACAGTATGTTTACTATTGTCTAATTTTATCTACTATTGTAGATTCTGGGCGGAGTGATAAGTCTATTTATTTTACAATGATGTTTGTATATTATTTATGTTGTGTAGGTACATCGTAAAAAAATTATTCAATTCTAGTCTATTAGAATTTGAAAAAAATAAAATTTCCAAATACTTTTTAAAATAATTATCTAGTAAAAATGGAAAAAAGACAAAATTTTGGAAAAACTAAAATTTTTAGCAAAATTAATTTTTGATTAAATCAATATTTTTATTTAAATGAAATTAAAAAATATAATTTTAGGAGATTAATAACCTTTACGTAAATATATTTTTATATTATTTGTATAAATGATAAAATTTTCAAAACATTTAGATGAATTATTGTATGATATTTTCTATATTTTATACTTGGAACCTATGAAATACATACTATATTATACAGTAAGTTTGTATTGACTTTAAGTTTATTAATTATATGATATTAAAATAATTAAAATATTTTTGGTGAAAAATTAATTTAACATAACATATTATTATTACATATGATAAAATCATTTACTATAATGCGAATATGTGTATCTTCTATGTATATGAATGTATATAAAAATGAATATTTCTTTGTTTGCCTTTAAAGTATTAAAAACTACTCAATTATATTAAATTAAAGTTATTTCTTGAAGTTTCCTTGAAATCAATAGATTCCTTGAAATATGGAAGAAGCTTATTTTTTCAACGCCTATAAGTTGTTATTAAATTACCCACATAAATATTTAATTTCGTCTCTCGAAAATCGAATATATTTTGTTTATCAAATAGTTAATTGGTTACAGAATATATTAATATTATAATTATCAATAAAAATCTTAAGATAAAATATTGATCAATTTTTTTATGTTAACATGTTAATATCAAAAATATATTCAGAATTAAAAGCTGGCAAATCATACAAGTTATCATTATAATTTTGTTAGTATTCTATAATATTAAAATAATATAATTTCTATTTCTTTAAATATAATTTAAATTGAAGTCAAATGGAAAACGATAGAAAAATTAATTTTAACTCGACCAAAGTCGTTTAATAAAAATAAAATAAACTAAGTAATAAATGCTGACAGATCATATTTGTTATCACTGAATACAAGTTTAACACATCTTTTACAGTGACTTATTGAATGACAAAGTATACTCAACACTTTTTGTACATCGGAATACTTATCTACTATCACCAGGGCTAAATTGGGGGGATGTAGGGGAACTCAGTCCCCCAATCTCAAATAGTAGTTAAAAAGCGTCCGCTTTAACAAATTATTTGTAAGACATGCTGAAACGCCCAACTATAATAAAACATTAGTCAATATAATTCAGAATTCCGTTAAGACTATATGCATTAGATATTATACATAAAATTAAATATGTGATGTTTAAAACTATATTAAGACAAAAGTCTTCCATGGAATCCCTCTTTTTTATCATGAAACTTATTAAATTATTTACTCTTTAGAAATATAGTTGGTGTATTGTTTTAACTTTAACAATGTTTTATGTGGAGTATCTACACATCGATCGTTCAAACTTAAAATATTCATAAGTTATAAGTTTACAACTAATAAATACGTTCGAGTTTCGATTGTTATACATTAAAAATTTTAACAAATAAAATCTGCGTTTCAATATTAAAATAAAAATATAAGCTGTGATTCAAAAAAAAAAAAATAATAATAATAAATAAACAATGATTAAAGATAAAATAGACATTTTTTAAATATTTCCTTAAACATTGATACTTTTTGGGAATACTTTTTGGTATTTATAATTAACTTAGTCAATGGGCATTTAACCGTATACTTAAATTTATGATTAATTAAATGCATTTAAAATTAATAGAACTTTTCCAATCATTATTACTGAAAACAAACAAATTATTATTAAGTAATTTGTTTACTTTTCAAAATATATATATATATATATTACATAGTATATACTCGTACATTGAATAACTGTATGGATATCAAATTGAATATAAACCTAATACAGTAAAATTTATAACGGAGTTATAACGATTATAATTGATATTAATAATTATTAATACTATTAAAATTCAAATAAATGAAAAGTATAATATAATAATTACACAACAGTAAGATATTTTAATAACTCCAGCTGATCTTAATTAACATAAAATTATATAGAATCAGTTTAATAGAATTTTAATTTAGATCAATTAAAAAAAAAATAAAAATAATAATTCAGTTACTAATAAAATATCATAGAATCATATTAATAATTTTGATCTACTTATCGCATGAAAGGATTGTTCAGTAAAGGGGCGGTAACCGCTTAAGCAACGAACACATAAATATAAATATGCATTTCTTATGTTATATGACCGGTGACCGGTTTTAGTGCATTTATAATCAGTAATCACATAACATAGGTAACAGTCAAATGTGTTGGGAGGGATGAAATCCAAAACAAGCGTTCAACATAAATACGGAGAATCTATGTTGAACGCTATCAGTCGAAAACAACAGAACTACCAAGCACACACAGAACAACTCAAAAAATTCAAATAAAATGGCAGCCAAGGTATTTATATTTCAATTAATATTTTATAATGTTCAAAAATATGAAAAATAAAACTCTGACTAGTGGCACATGTCTATAATACACATAGTTTAAGAGTCTTAAGAATATTTTGTTATTATTCTATTTGACTTATCCAATATCTTACAGATGATCATATTCGCCGCTTGCGTGGCTTCCGCTCTCGCTCAATACTCTGCCCCAGCTTACAAGCCAGCGTACTCAGCGCCCGCTTACTCGGCACCAAAGGCTTACGCCCCAGAACCCTCATACCCACCCACACCGTACAACTTCGAATACAGCGTAAACGACCCACACACCTACGACGTGCACAGCCAATCCGAATACAGCGACGGCAACGGCAACGTCAAAGGAACTTACAGCCTTTTGGAAGCCGACGGTTCCACCCGCGTCGTCGACTACACCGCTGACTCCTACGGTTTCAACGCCGAAGTCAAGAAAATCGACGGTGGATACAAGGCCCCGTACAGCGCACCGGCCTACAAGCCAGCTTACTCCGCACCAGCTTACTCTGCACCAGCCTACGCTGCACCAGCTTACCCAGCACCCGCATACTCTGCACCGGCCTACAAACCAGCCCCGTACAAGGCATACTAATAAATCTCAATCCACCCTCGAGCTATGGCGCTGTTTATAAAAACCATCATACAGTCATATTGATTATGATAACATTATTTTCATTGCCTGTTCATAAACCATATTTATGTCATCGTTGTATTTATTTTGTAAATAAATAGTAAATTCAATTATATCAAATGTTGTTATATTTTTTTACATCTAAACATTCTGAACCTATACAACTAGATATACGTATAAGCTAAAAGTGTCCTACCTATATTGATTTCAATAGAACAAGAATATACTATTAAACACGACATCTTATCATTAATTAGTTATCAGTGGTCATAATAATTAAGTGTTTAAAGTGCATAATATATTATAACATGACATTTCAGTTCAAAAACTAGCCATATCTTAATTAGGCATCGATTAAGATATGATAAGTGAGAATTTTTAAAAAACTACAGCAATTAAGAATATTTAATAGTAATAATGTATCAGTCTTTAATTTTTATAGTAAAATTTGGTAATTACTTGAACCTAGATAGTACTTTTAAGGGTTAACAAAATCAAGAAAAATAAAACTAAACAACTGAAAAATGAGAATATTTACACATACCAAGTTTTTGACAAAATCAATTTCGTACTTTATTTATAAGTAAAATAAATTACATTAATACTTAGAAATATTTGTATTTCTTAATCTATTTATAAACATTTACAATTTTATAAATTTATGGTTATTTCAATTTATGTTAAAAATTATTTTCTTGATAAAAGAAATCAAACAATTTAGTACAAAGTTTACCATAAAGTGATCTACCAATACATAAAAACATCAAAGAGTTCATATTTTGACAAGATTCATCAAAATCATAATAGTTTTAAATGTTTACTGTAGTAAAATAAATAAAATTATTAATTTTAATATTAAAGACTTGAAATAAAATATAAAATTATGTATATATAATATGTTGTTTTTACTATATTTTAAAAATAACAAAAGTACATTGTTAACATTATTTATATAGAAATTCAAATATCTTATTTTGGAAAAGAAATAAAAGCTGACTCTGTATTTCCGGTCAGAATTCTTTTTCGTATGAACGTATTTATTATTAATTTAAATTTAACGAGTTTCAAAAAATGTATAAAAAAGTATACGTAGTATTATTTAAAATAGCTCGAGTATAAATGAAAAATTATTATAAAATACACAATTCTAAATTGTGACACTTAATTTTTATATTGTATCCGATATTAATTTATTATTATACTATTTTAAATCACTATTCAGTTCAATTAAATACTATAGTCTATAGATAATATAATAAAAATTAAAAAATATAATACAAGTATAATATGAAATTAGTTAATGGATAATATAAGATATATCACAAATTTGGAGTAATATACTATGAAATTATTAGAGATAGTTACTTTTGACAGTGTTCAAATCTGTAATTTCTGCAAATTAATTGCTTTGATTTTTAATTTATAGAAAGGGGTAGGATAAAGTGGGAAATCTTTAGTCACAAATACACTAAAATTAAGACCCGCCAGTACATCCTAATTAAATCAACAACTATTACCTGTTATATTTATACGCTATTTACATTATTTTCTATAACAATATAAAACAGTATCCACAAACAAAATGTTTTTATTTTAACGATACTTTAGCATAGCTTTCAACTTTTCGAATGATTTAGTTAATGATATGAATAATTTAACTTAACAGTTATTGTAAGTTTGCTTGGAAAAGGAATTAAGTAAACATGTGGGAAATTAATTATAAATTCAGAAAATTTCAAAAGTCAACAATCTACTATTTATACTTCATGGTTCAAGTTGAAGAGTTTGTTAAGTCACTTTTTTTCTAGTTTTAGAACATTTCATGAATAATTGACTAAAATATTTATGATTAAATGCTAGTTTTAAGAGATTTGTTATTTAATATTTATTTTACTGATTCCCATCGGTTTTACTATTGCTTAATGTTTATTTACTCTATAGTATCATATCTTGTTATGAAATAATAACCAAATTAATTAAAATATATTACTACATACCAATTTTGTTTAATATTATTAATTTAATGAACATGCAAAATATCCACATGCATATTTAAAATTAAAATGATAAATTAATGATTTATGTCAACTGTGCACCGTATCATCATGGCTTGAGTAAAAGAATAGTTAAACTCAGATTAAAAGTCAAAAATTTAATTTAAAAATGTTAATACACATTGTCATAATTAAACTAATCTAATTTATTTATTTTTACTAATTATTAAAGGTTAAGTAGTTCATAAATTAATAAATATTATCAGATAAATGTATTATAAATATATTTCAGATGGTATAGTACGTAATATACCAGGGGCGGCCAAACAGTCGATCGCGATCGACCAGTCGATCGCAAACGATTTTAAAGTCGATCGTGCTAGAATTTATTTTTAGGCTACGCTCACGAAAATTAATTATGGTGATATAGTAACTTAATAATAATAAAAACTTTTTTACCGAAGTCGATCCTCAAAGGTGAAGTATATTTTTAGTAGATCGCGGCCGAAAAAAGTTTGACCGTCTCTGTAATATACAATAACACCTAAAATAGTTTAAACATGGTAAATTCTGTATTTTTTTTTTTTTAATTACAATACTATAATCGCATATTATACTAAAATAATAATAATTTACAAAATAATTTTTACTGAATTTTTAAAAAAAGTGTAAGAATTCCGTGTGAATAAAGTCAAACTTATTTCTGATAAGCAAATTGATGACCAAAACAAACATTCCGTTTAAAACTCAAATACCGACTCACTAATAAATTAAAAGTGCAGAAAATGTTTACACATTTATGGTAGACATAATGAGTAATGATAAATTAATTTTCCATATCATTTCTGCATCTTAGTAAGACCAACATATCCTGAGGCGTTTAGTTTAGTTTAAGTTGCATGAGTCGCTTCCAAAACAACGTCTGTCTTGTTTCAATTTTGTGACGCGGAAAACCTAACACGATGAATAATTGTTTACGTCCACCCCTGATAAGAATTTTCTCTTCAAAAAATTATCATATTTTAACTTAATCTAACATATTCTTCGAATACTTATTACCTAATTATCTCTTTAAAAATATATGATCATTAATTTCACTGCTTTTGTTAGGTATAGGTATTTATATGATGTTATAAATCTCACACAAGCATTTGTCTTCAAAATAAAAATCACAGAAACAAAATAAAGTAAATTTAAAATTTTTTAATAGTTACAAGGTAAAAGATTTTCGTAAGATAAGCTTAAAAAAAAAAGTAATGTGAATTACAAATTAATCCACATAGTATTCGAGATGAGTGGGTTCATAAGTTTACGTCCGTTTCGACAAACATAATATTTTAAATAGAGCGTGAACGCGATCGAAATGCATATAAAATATTTTCGATGAACTTGAACCATATTAACACATGTCGAACACAATTAATATAAAAAAAAAAAATAAAAAAAATGAAACGTACTTCACGGGCGTCTACGCCCCGACCGGTTCTTGTTCGACGTTGTACTGCAGTGCTACTGGTGTGAGATATTATTCACTGCGTAAGACTGGAAGGGACGATGTGACAAAATTTTAGCATAAATACCATGTCTCCGTTCTCCATATTCACCAGTTCATTTCTGTACACAGTCATTCAATACTTTGACAAAACAACAACAACAAAAAAACCCACTAAAATGGCCGCTAAGGTAAGTCGAGATGGTCGTGATTCGATACTTTAAAACGTTTGGTTTTCAAACGGATCCAATTTTTCGTTTTATAAACTCCTCCGGTGTAATATTAATTTTTTTTAAACTCTTGTCTTACGTCGTTTTACAGTTCGTCATCCTCGCCGCTTGCGTGGCTACCGCTCTCGCCCAATACTCTGCCCCGGCCTACAAGCCAGCGTACTCAGCCCCCGCTTACCCGGCACCAAAGGCTTACGCCCCGGAACCCGCATACGCCCCGGCCCCGTACAGCTTCGAATACAGCGTAAACGACCCACACACCTACGACGTCAAGAGCCAATCCGAATACGCCGACGGCAACGGTTACGTCAAGGGATCGTACAGCCTTTTGGAAGCCGACGGTTCCACCCGTACCGTCGAATACACCGCCGACGACTACAACGGTTTCAACGCCGTCGTCAAGAACTCCGCCCCGGCCTACAAGCCAGCTTACTCCGCACCGGCCTACGCCGCCCCAGCCTACGCCGCCCCGGCTTACCCAGCACCGGCCTACTCCGCACCGGCCTACAAGCCAGCGTACAAACCAGCATACTAAAAACGTGTTATTTCGTCATGTGAACCAACTCTCTTCATCGCCTTTTTTTTTTTTTTCCATATTTTCTTCGTGTATACCTCTCTGCCATCGCGTTCATATTGAACCGTGGTCGCAAAGACATACCATGCCATATTATTGTATAAGACAATAGGTACGTCTCGTGTATTTATTGTGTAAATATATATATATACACCCATGTGTATTTATTGAACATACTTGGATTTTTTTTTTTATAATTTTTTTCTCTTTACACCTTACGGTCCTGCTATAACACCTACGAAAAAATATTTATTTTTTTTTTGTTCTATTTTGATCACTTTCAAAGCAGAAACAAAAATATATACGGTTTTATTAAAACTATTTCAGATTCAGAAATAAATAATAATTAGTGTACGTTTTCAACGCCTTGAAAGTGTTATCTTGAAATCATTCATTAACGCTATATAATCTGAGTACTACATGAATTGTAACTGAAACCAAACATTTTAATTTGATTTAATTTCAAACAAATTCATTGAAATAGTTTAGTTAAAACTAATTGCAATATATTGACAATGGAAGTATAATATATTTTACATATTTAAACTATTATAAGCAATATTTTATATTTATTAAAAAAACTAAAAATTACAAAAAGACAAACAAGTCTATAAAGAATTAATAGGTTGAAAAATATTAAATATTATCGAACAATAATTAAAACAAGTTCTTGAATTTATTTTGACGAATGAATTACGTTTTTGTAGTCATCGGAGTCATCAAACCTACTACTTTAGACGCGCCTTTTTTGTCGTAACTGTAGACATTTTTTTTTCTGTTAAACTCCATTAATCTAACTTAATCATGGATTTCATGTCAATAATAATTATAAATTATAATGGATGTAATAGTTAAAATTGTATACTGCATAATCAAAAATAAATAAATAATTAGTAAGAACAGATGATTAATATATTATTAAAAAATAGGAAAAAATATGTTATAAAAAGTAAATAAATTTGTCTGCTTAACTTGTTAAGTTTTTTATAATTATTCCTAAAATATTTTCTTAATTCTTAGGTATACATTTAAAATTAAAACGCTAAGAAATTTAATTTTTTAAGAAAAACAAAATGGTACCTATAATTTGATCAGTTACCTACTATGTAAAGATTGTACTCGTAGGTCATTATTGCACATTTAAATAATACTATTACTATTTTAGGTTTATGTGACTCTTTATTTTGAAAATATTTCAAAATTAAACCAATAAAATAAAGTTTAAATATTTACAAAGATAAAATCTATAAAATAACTATAACTATAGGTTTCCTTTTTTCATCACGTTGTAAGTCGATAAACTATTTTAAGCATAATCAATATTCAATAACTAAAACATAGATAATATTATTTATAATAATATCACTTATTCAGTTTTCATAAACAGTTCTATAAGTTCATGGTTAATTATAATCAATATGTAGTAAGATAACTACATTTAAATGTATCATTTTCTAATTGAAAATTATATTTATTTAAAGTACAATTAATCGCCAATTTACTAATATCATTGTATATCCGTAAATTAGAAGGTTTGCTATTTGCACTGTTATATATTATACGTTTTACATGATATAATTTTATAAATTCGTGTTTAATGTAAAATATATAATTAATAAGACGAAAATTAAAATCTCTTTCAAAATACAAGGTAGTTTTTACCTAGACCTATAGGAATGGACTATTTCCATTTAGGTGCATTATCGAAATATATCCGAGCATATATTTATGGAAACTGTTTTGTATATTTAATGGTATAAAACTCCATTTATTGATAATTTGTGATTGTAGATATGATTATATATATAGGCATTAACTAGTTAAAAAGTTAATTTTTTTTTTTAATTTTTTAATTTTATTAGTTACTTTATTTTCTAATCAACTTATAACTTAAGGAATTGAATTGACAGTTGAAATAAATTAGCTTTTTGCAATTGATATTAGAAAGTTTTTTTATAAAATTATGAATATAATAAATTTTATTGTTTTAATTTTTTATGACCTTCAATTCCTATATTATTTACAAAACTAATATTTGTAAAATTATTCATTTGAGATATATATATATAGTTTAAATTAATAAATATTATATCATGTAACGTAAAAGGGTATTTACTCTGTATAATGTGCATCATGATAAAAATTAAATTAAATTGTTTTTTATAATTTAGTAAATTAGTAAGACATAGGTAGTAATTCTTTATGTGATCTATATACTAATTAAAAAAAAATAAAAATAGATTAAATTTTTTAAACTAAGTCAAGTTAGTATTTTTTTCTGTATTAAATGTTAACTTATCGAGTTCAATTTATAATTTGTTAACGGTTAACTTCTAACTTATCAATCTTGTAACTAAATTTGAGTTAAATATTTTCATTAACTTGCTCATTTTTGTATATAATATATATCATATACCTTCAAAAAAAAAATTATCTCATTTTGATTTTTATTTGCTATTTATTTACAAAATAAATACACTGATGAAATATTTGGTTGATGAACATGAAATTAAAATGTCATGACTACCTGCATGAACATTTAGTGTTATGACTCAAAAATGAAAAAAATGTTAGTATGCCTTGTATGGAACTGGTTTGTAAGCCGGTGCTGGGTAGACGGGTTTGTAGGCAGGGGCGTTGTACGGGGTCTTGTATCCTCCTTCGATCTTCTTGACGATGGCGTTGAAACCGCTTTGGTCATCGGCGGTGTATTCAACGACGCGGGTGGAACCATCAGCTTCCAAGAGGCTGTAGGATCCCTTGATGTTGCCGTTGCCGTCGGCGTATTCAGATTGGCTCTTCACGTCGTATGTAGATGGGTCGTTGACGCTGTACTCGAATTTGTATGGGGCTGGTGCGTATGTAGGCTCTGGGGCGTAGGCTCTTTGTACCGAATAAATGGGCGCCGAGTACACTGATCTATAGGCTGGGGCAGAGTATTGGGCGAGGGCGGAAGCCATGCAAACGGTGAAGACGATCAACTGTCGAGAAAATTTTCCAAATTTAAAATATGTATACATATATAAATATATCATACGATTTAATGGTTAAGTAAATAACGATGACACTCGTGACTTACCTTGGCGTCCATTTTATGGATTTTTGATTATTTTATGAGATTATTCGATGACTGTTAACAAAAATAAACTGATGAATTTAGAGACTGGAGACGCAGTATTTATGCTAAAAATATTTCACATCACCCTTCCAAATATTATAATAATTGGCACACATTGTCGTTTAGCTTATTGTGTCGCATTGGACAAAAACCGGTTAAAACGAAGATGATTGTGTCAATCGATTATTTTTTATACATTGTATTTGAATTTTTTTAGTATATTTTAAATTAATTGAAAACGTAATCGTCTATCTACTTGTTTCTACATTTTAATAACACTTTCAATGTGATTTTCAGGTATATGAGATAAGATTATGAGTATTATATCTTAAATATATATTCATAATATATCATACAAGAAACAAAATTAACAATCAAACAAGCGATTTTTTATAATTTACTAGTTATTTTTAAAATAAATATAGTGATTCTCATATAATATAATACTTGGTTAGTAAATAATGAAGAATTTTATACAGGACTTTTGAGAGTATGTATTGTTATTGTCAAATATGCGACCTGAGAAGGTAGATAATAACTACGGTCAATGGTTTTAATGGGATTGTATTATAATAAGTATAGTGTATTGTATCCCTTTATTTATTTATTTTCATCTTGTTAGTACCTAATGCGTATTATGTAACCATATGACATGAATTATTTTTTGAACAACGTATGAATACGGTCGTATTCGGTTGTATAATCACAATGACTGTTTTTGTCTATAAGATTGGAAATACCATATTTCTTCCCATAGGCAAATCTTTTTCCCGATTCGGATTGTGTTACGGGTAAACCGTTTTTTACGCTTTACTTAATTGAGATTATTGGTTTAAAATTCATTTCATATTTAGTAATTGATTTTGCATTTTCATTGTACTTCTGTTTTAAATAATTTAACTTTATTAAATATGACAATAAAATTAAAGGTAATTGTTTACAAAATATCTAATTTTATTTTCATGGTATAAAACATAGATATTTGTATATCAAATTCCAAGATAATTTACCGTATTAAAGTCCCCCAAATATTCTAAATATATTTTTCTATTGTAATTAAAGCATAAAATTAATATATATATATTTAATAAATTATTGTTTATTTATTTATTATTTTTTTATTTTTATTTTTTTTATGATTAAACCATAAACATATTTGCTAGATAGTGAAATGTAAAAAGATGATTATTATTTAAATCATTGAATAACTATATTTTAAATATTTAAACTATACTATGACTGTTAAATTTGAAAAATATTAAATATGTCAAAATTAATATTTAATCTGCATAATCTCGACACTGACTTAAACTTTGTTAACTCTTGTAGGACATTATGTTTACTATTAAATTTATAACAATAGTGGTTATTATTTAATATAAAATTAGTTTTGATTTAATAGTGTAGGAAACTACCTTAATATAAAATTTAGATTTTAGATAAGTACCCAAGTTTAGATTATAAAATATTAATGCTTAATTTGCATTCAAAACTAATACTCTACCATTGTCATATATTTAATTTATTTGTGATCTTATTTCTGGTTGATTGTCAAAGTATTTTTTTATTTTTTATTTTAACTTGTGTACATAATGACTTTTTTTTTAACTAAAATATTTATATTTACATTTATTTAAATATTTTATCGTGAATTGATACTCGTAATTTATAATATAATAAACTTTCATGCTATAAGAATCTCTTAAAAGTAAATAACATACAATTTAAAAACAAATTTGTCGTAATAAAGAATAGTCTAAAGAGATTATAAAACGAGGTTTAAAAATACATTTTAAATTATTTAAAACTTTGAACTATTATTAATATATACAAATTCTTGACAAACGATGATGATTATCTAAGTACCTGCATTAAAATTATTTAAAATCAGTTTTAAAAAAATCCTAGTATATTTTACAAATATTTAATAATTTTAAAATTTGATTATTTAACTGTGTAGATGTACCAATAATACCTATATTAATATTACTTTGATTAAGTATATTATCAACCCAGTTAAATGTAAATGTTATTAATCGCAATAACTAACAGCATTTTAACGTAACAATTGTATGTAATATATATACATTTACATACAAACTAGCTATATACGAATTTTTAGTTATTTGTAACTTTCACCTGATTTGTAATTTATTAATCTATTTCTCAATAAATAATTAATTCAAACATAATGTTTACAGTAGGTAAAACGTCTCCACGTGGATGACTTTTTTTATGAATACAAATATTTAACTAAATTCAATTATAACCAGTTCGCGTCATGTATACTCTGGGTAATGAAATACTACAATACATGGAATGGGTAAAAAGTAACACTGACATCTTTCGATTTAAATACTGCGACAACAGGCACGGAATTTATCAGTCACCGTGTAATATTTGTCGCCGACAGAATAAACAGAATAATATTCAACTACCTATCGTACAACGATACAAACACAAAATGATCGCCAAGGTATAATATGTAGTAAATAATCATTTTATTAAATAGTAAATGTGTTCATACAGAATTGGAAACGTTAATTTTCATTTTATTTTTATTTTCAGGTACTCGTCATTGTCGCTTGTGCGTCTCTTGCCGTCGCTGAATACGCGTCGCCTAGAGCGTACACTCCGGAGCCCAAATACGCACCAATCCCGTACAGTTTTGAGTACAGCGTAAACGACCCATACACTTATGACGTGAAGAGTCAACGCGAGTCGAGCGACGGAAATGGAAACGTCAAAGGATCGTACAGCCTTTTGGAAGCCGACGGTTCCACACGCACCGTTGAATACACCGCCGACGACTACAACGGTTTCAACGCTGTCGTCAAGAACTCCGCCTCTGCTGCCTCCTACAAGCCAACTTACTCTGCACCAGCCTACTCAGGATACAGACCAGCATATAAATCTGCATTCTAATTGTTTTTCTCTAGTCATTTAAACCATTTGTCTTCCTCGCCTCGTGTCTTCTTCGTGCGTACCTCTATTTGATCACGTTCGTATTGAACCACGGTCCCAAAGTCATGCTATACCATAGTAACGTTATATGTATATATTATGTATAAATGAAAAATGACGCGATTTGTATATTTATCGTTACCGTCGCCAAGAATTTCGAAAGCGGCTACGAAAAACTCAATTTATATTTACCTAATTATAATAATATATTACTATGTGTTGTATTGTTTCCGTTTTGTATAATATTGTTTTCTGTTCATCGAACGCAAATGTTCTCATGTGCTTATCATTTATCACTCATATTTTATCATGTTGTTTTATGTACATTTTATGTAATATTATAAGCCTAATTGTTGACTATTATAAGCTAACCCAATTTTAATTGTGCTTACCTACGTGTTTTGAATTATAAGTAATAAAACCTACTCATGAAATAATTATACACTCATCTTGATATTTTTCATAATTTATTTCCTGCTATTACTTGGTTTCAAATCGTTATGTAATCAAACCTATGACTCGAGAGTATTCTAAACACAACATTTTCTTTTTCACATTTTTTACAGATCCGGAAATATATTAGTACACTTATAACTGCATAAAATATGAGTTATATCATGTGCATTATATGCATTCATCTCATTAAAAAATACAATGTTTTTGATTAAAAAGTCAAAATAAAAATGTTATATTGTTATGACATATTATAATTATTAAGATATTTATTTATTTTTCGCATCAATGCAATAAACCATCATTATATGTAACTTTCAATAGTATAATCGATCGATTATTATTCTATCTAAAGATTTTATGCAATTTTAGGACATAATCATTATTTTGTCAGTGTTTTTAATATTTGTTTTAATTTGTTTTTAGGATGAGAAGACAATATATTGTACTTTTTATACTAGTAAAAATATTGTTTATAGGTGTTTTCAGATTTTAAAATAATTTCTATATTTTTTTTTATATAAAATGATATAAATGTATATTATTTATTATCGTTGATAAACTGCAACTGACTAATTTAACATAAAATACTCGTATATTATTATGATTTTCTATATACAAAATATAATATATGTAAATAATTTAGTTTTTCTTAAAAAATAAATTGGAAAACTAATTTATTTTATAAATAATATCCATATTGAATAAATTTATTATTTAAATAATATACATTTAATACGATATTAATACCATCAGTTTTGACAAAATCTGATTAAGATCACGATTACGTTTATTATCTCACTAAAAAACAAACCATAATATTTATGTTGTATAAAATAAAATGTTACCATTTATATACATACCTAGTATTTACAAGTGTATAAGAACGAATATCAAAAACAAAATTATTATTACATTTTCAAAACGAATTCTAAACACCACATTATGAATATATATTACTAATCATATAAACCATCAAATTAATTTACATTTAATATTTTGGTTTAATTGTTCCGCTATAGGATTACACTTGTCTAGTTGTTCAGGATAGAACATGCATTCACTGTTAATTTACCATATGATGTACAAACGAGTGATAAGGTGTTTAATCCTTTTAAGCTATTATACCGATTACAGTTAGATATAATAATAATTAATAATGTATTTTTTTACCAGACGTTTCCTGTTTAGATAGCACAGCTCCATTACAGGTGTTAATTGTATACTTATAATAATTATGATAATTCACATACGAGTGAAATCTTCTTCGACTAGGAAGGGACTTGTATAGGTTAAACTATATAAATGACTAGTACGAACAGTTTGCAATAACATTCATTGCCAGTCGGTGTCCGATAAAAAATAAAAATAAAAATAGTGTGACTGACTTCAAGAAATCAAAACCTACGATGACTATTAAGGCGAGTAAAAGTCTACTTAAATTTTTAATTTACTTTTTTACAATTAAATGTATCTGTAAAAAAGAAAAATATTTGAATAATTAAAACCAGGTGAAAGTTACGAGTAAATTATTGTTTTTAAATTTCAGCTGTATATCATGATTGCTATGGCCGTGACTTGTTCAAGTATCACAGAATCGTTTCCGTCTTCAGTCGATTTAGCCGAACACGACGAACACCAACATTATTCACAAATGTCAAATTCGTATCACTTCGAGTATGCCGTACATGACCCCGTGACCGGTGATGAGAAAAACCACAACGAAGTTAGTGACGGACATGGCACTGTCAAGGGGACGTACAGTCTAGTCGAACCAGACGGTTCTACTCGTGTTGTTGAGTACACAGCTGATGACGTCCACGGCTTCAATGCCGTAGTTAAGAAAATTCAATTACAACACAAACCCTCATCTACAGAACACATACTTGACTTGGGAGAACATAAGGTGCCATATTTCCCAAAACCGACGAATGATTTAGAAGAAAAATACCATCATGAAATGATTTCATCATACTCGGAATAATTATTTCAATGAATATGATAACATGTCAAAATAATGTGCAGCAAGTCTGGTTTTTCAAAATTGCATAATTTGTTTTATGTAGTATTTATATATATATATATATTTTTTTTTTATAATAAAAATAAATATTTTTACTATTTTAACGAATACTATGTAATTTTCTTTTATGTTTAAAAAATATATTATTAATATATTACGTAAACCTCGTAGCACTCAAATAAGTGTAACGTAAGTTTGCATAACTTCATATCTAACTGTGAATGATGATCTTTAAAGATCTACGATGTGTACCTACCTACTTCAGAGTATTAAACAATTTAAACGTTACGCATGAAAATGAAATATTTTGTCAAGCATTTCATTTTGAAAGTCTTGATTAAAATAAGTAATTTATTTTCTTTACGATTACTTTTTCAAGCATCATTAACAATATGTATTTTAAATATTAACAAAAAAGCCTTTGGTTTAACAATAACAATTTGTTTTTTATTTAGAAACAATTTTCAACACTATGAAACAAATTTAAAAGTTTTATGTGGAAATACTGAGTCATTCACATTAGTATTTTTGACATTTAATATGATGTTTAAAAATGTTTAATAGAAGTATTAAACATTTTTTAAATTATTTTAAAAATAAAATGTAGTTAACTATTATTTCACATATAAATTGATTAATTTTGATACAATTTTTTCAAGTAATCATTGTTAAACAAAATTAGTAATTATTAATTTTTCAAGTACTTAATATTTTAGTTATCACCTAAATTTAAAAGTAGACAATAACATTGAGTATCGCCTTTTAAATTTAAGAACCACGTGTATAAAATATTGACTTAAAGGCTATAAAAAAAAAATGCAGTAACTATCTACCCTAAGGAATGTGTTAATATTTTTTTTTTTATTTATATGCGTGAACATAGGTACACAGTTTTTATTCATAAAAATATGTTTAATAGATTTCAATTTATAATAACTTACAGTTTATATTAGAAGCATTGATTTTAAAATGTTAAAAATTAAAAAAAATTAAATTAAATATTCGAAAATCAACAGAAGAAGTAATTACATTTAAAAATAAAGGTTGAGCAAATATATCAATAACTATTTAATTTTGAACAACGTAGGAATTGAAATTAATATTATTTCTAATGTCTGTGTTAACAACAAATTGAGTTTGATAATTAATTTATTTAAAAAAAAAAAATAACGATTTTATCAATATTATTATTTTATGGTGTAAAATAAAATTTAAATAGATATATAAACGATAAAATTAACAATTGTTTTTATTTCAATTACCAACCAATATTAATATTTTGATAAGTAAAAAATAAAATAACATTAATTAAAATTTTAACCGTGTTTGTATGTAATAATGTCATCATAACCTACACTATTACGAAGATACTTACATGTTTTTAATTTTTTTTATTTTAAATGAAAAAAATGCATACATTCATAATATAAAATTTGCTATTGAAATAACATTATTTATCTGTTTAATATTGTATACCTATAATCCAAATGTATCAGTAATTTAATCATTTTAAATGAAATGCATTTAAATAAATTATGTCTATTGATTTTCATTGATATAATTTCCAATTGATAGCAACTCGCATTTTGTATGATAATATATGATATCCTATACTACAAAAGTTCTTTAAAAATAATATTCTTTTTTTACAATATTTGATCTTAATTAAAATCCGGTTAAATGTTGTTTCAAAATCTATCTTATTATTATGAGTATGCTAATATGTTGTAATTGTATAGCATAATAATAGATACATTTAATCAATTGAAATATATTTAATAACTATAAGTTACATTGAAAACCTAACAAGTGAAACAATATGTTTGTTAATACGATTTTAAGAAAAAATTTAGTCCGAAAATTAGGGCATTCTGTAATATGAACTAAATTAGTAGGTAATTAAATGATATAAGAGCCAGAATCTATTACGATAATACATGTTATCGAATTACTTGCACGTCTTAGTTATCATGTAAAAATTATTTTGTTTAAGTCGTTAAAAATATAAATTAAAAAGATTCTCTAGTTTAATTAAATCCTCTAAATTTTTCGAGTGGCGAAATTTTTTTTTTTTTTAATTGCTTTATAAATAAAAATAAAACAATATATTTTTTTTCTTACTAAATTTACAAACTAGTGTTGTTTTTATATTACAGCAAAATGTTACACATAAGTATTTCATATTTTTTTTAATTAACTGACGTAACGAATTCAATCTTAGTCCATCTTAGTTGGTTTAATAAAGGTAAATACTAAATAGTACTATGGTAGGGATTTATCAAATGTATAAATACTTCAAACATATTAAAAATATTCAACAGTCTTATTTTCATGACTTATGAAAACACGTCTTATTACATTGTATACATCACGATCTACATTCACAAAAACTTTAAAAATGGCTGCTAAGGTAATATTTTATTAGTTAATAAAAACTATTTTAAATTATTTTAAATTCTAACTATTTTATAATTTTAGCTATTTTTTTTCAATCTATAAGCATCTTTTTATAAACAACTTTGATTTATTTCCTGAATCAATTAAAAATAAACTTACTGTACTCGAAGTATTATAGATTATAACTGGGAAAATGATCATTTTAAACATCAAATGTAAATTTTCCAATACCAAAAAAAAAATCAAAATATTTTAGTTAAGTTTCAAAATTATTAGTCAATGTTCAGTTTTGTTTATATAATACATTAATACAATAACTTAATCTGAAAATTGTGCACACGTCATGATTTGATCATTCGGTAATATAAATTAATTATTTAACAAAATCCGAAACGGTGGTCTCATTAAAAAAAAAAAATGTAGATACCAGGCTTAAGTTGTATAACTGACCCATTTCTAGTTTTATCCGAAAAAAAATTGTACGATAATCGGGTCCCTCCTACCAAATAAAAGTTTACTGTGCAATACATAAGTCGTCTGAAATGAGTCCGATTCCAAATCTAAAAACTTTTTCGTAACATTGCAGTTGATCGTGTTCGTCGCCTTGTTCGGGCACCTGGCCATAGCCTTTCCACCTGCGATCCTCGAGCACAGCGGTTACGAGCACCACGACGACGACCACTACGCACACGCACCCACTCCGTATCACTTCGAATACGCCGTGAAAGACCCGCACACCCACGACGTCAAGAGTCATCACGAGTCCAACGACGGTCACGGCAACGTCAAAGGCTCGTACAGTCTTCTGGAAGCCGACGGTTCTACCAGGGTGGTCGAGTACACCGCCGACGCCAAACACGGTTTCAACGCCGAGGTGAAGAAAATCGAAGCGCCGGCTCACTACCATCACAAAGCGCCGTACACCACCAGCCACGAGTCCATCTATCACCCATACAAACCGTCGTCGCACTTTCACTCGTACTAAAAAATAGGATGAGACGGCCGATAAATGATTCCGACGAAAGTTACTTCTTTTTCTTTCCTCTTTTAAGTGTGTAGGTACGTGATTTGGTCAAATTAAATCACTAAGTTATATATTATTGTTGTCTCGAGATGAATAAAAATAAAGTTTATGTTTAATTCATTGAAACATAATAATTGTTGTATATTTAATTTTTTTTCTGTATTTTATTAATTAATCCTTTACAATATGGATGAGTGAGCAATTTATTTTTACAAGCTAATAGTAATACTTACCACGGGTAGTACCGCGGGTGAAATTAAATACCAAAAGATCGTTAGAATTTGCACTCGTCCGAAAACATAATAGGTGAACTTATACCTTGACCGAAAACTGTCATTTAGCGATGGATAAAATTATATGAATGATTAATGGATAATTTTTTTGCTTACACAGACTAATCCTCTTTCTTTAATATGAACTTCTATTTTATGATTTTGTTTGAAAACTTTGCTTCTACATATTGTTTTATGGATATAATTATTGAGATATTTTTTTATATAAATAACATTTCATGAGTTTGACACTATTTGTGAATTATGTTTGATTTATAGATGTGTATTTTAATGTATTGAAAATATTATAATTTTTAGTTAATCATCTTACTAGAAATATTTCTGATAGCCAGAAATAACTGTCTACTAATATCATTAATAAATATGAACCATGTAAACATTCATCAAGTCCATCTCGTTTTCTCTTATACTTATTACGATATTATGATATTTTGTAATTTACTATAGTTTACTATAACATTATATACAATGTCATTGTTTAACTGTATAATATTATTGATACGTACTAAATTAAATGTCGCAGTGGAGTTCATTACATCATATTTTAATGATATTTTAACCTGAACAAAGGTGTGATATTTTGAATAGCAATTAACGTTTTCGCCCAATCAATGGTTGGTTATAGTATATATTTATTTATAAGAATTTAGCTTGGTTATTCAAAAAATCAGTGCTTGATTTTTGAGGGTGGTGGGGGGGACGGAGTCTCCCTTCTTTTTTAATTTTTTTTTAGCGTACCCCTTCTATTTGCCCCCACGGTAATGTTACGGTTAAATTTGTGTGGAACGCTTGTTTATCAAACATCCGATGAGTCCCCCTTCTATTTTTTTTCAAAATCAAGCACTGCAAAAAATATAAAATCTTTCTGCTTGTCCTGTGATAACATATTTTCTAACCGAAATATTAAAGGTTAGTATTAGTATTTTGTTAGCAGTGGTTGAAAAATAACTGGATATTAATTTCATGATATGTCATTGTTTACCATTCAATCAATAGAAACTATAGTCCTGATAAGAAAGTCCATATCTGATATTAATATCTTATAGATAAGTCTATGTTTATGAAAGAAATAACCATTTTTATGAAACTCTGTTGGGTTTGTGCTTAAAGTATTAGGTATATATATATTATTTTCATCGTTATTGAAGATGTTGCCATTATTATTAATTTATATAGTTTTCTCTTGTATTCTTGTGCATGCCGCTCGTCAATTATGAACTATAAAAACTAGTGTGCGTTTTAAATATAATATGACCGATTACTGGAAGGATAAAAACTCGTTTATTGAATACGAACTTTGCTCCTTAATACCCCTTTTGTTGGTTTTTATGTTATATTACCACAAAACAATTTATTATTTATTAAAATACGTTACAAACATCTATGTTCTATATCTTCTTACTATACTATCATATAACTATAAAACATTCGGTTTTAAAAATTACTCTTTTTTAAGCAATGGACGTTAGTTTTACAATGAATTATACAAGAACATTATTCAAGGCACCAAATGTATTATCGTATCTGGGTCTAGTATATCAGTATAATATGCAATAAACAATCACATTTACGATGTAGGTATGGTTATACATACTTAACGCGTTGTACATAAAATATTATATATCTTAATAAGTAATAACGCATTAGCATGTTACGTGATAGTTTAAATTTATTTACTCGTGTCGTAACTAATATTCCGTTAAATAAAATTATGGTAATGAAAATGTTGTTTGAATAATTTTAAGTAGCTCATTATTGGTTTTACTATGGTGGTATGGTAATTTTTTAGGAAATAATTCCTATAAAATTATAAATAAATTAACACATAATGTCTTTCTTCAATTTAGTTATAAATTGGGTAGTTTTAATTATTTTAAACCATTCAGAACTAAATAATGAATTTCAACCAAGTATTCATGGATTAATGCATTTTAAAATGCTGAATAGAGGTTTCTTGTCAAGTCTTTAATAAATTTCAAAGTTTATCAGCGGTTAGTCGGATTTTCCATTCAATGTTTCACTCCACTATCCACCATCATATGATGTATAAACCTTTAAGAAGCTATTTTCAATATTAACCCTTCTTTTACCTTTTAAATTATGGTTTTGTATCGTGTTAGTATAATATTATCTTAATATTGATAAATCTTATGTTATAGGTTTTATTACTTTAAATTTATACATACAATTATTGTATACATAATGTATTATGCCTATCAACTCATAATAAATAAATTATCTAATTAAAAAGCTTCGTTCAGTAGTTAAAAATAATAACATGATTTTGTATTGGGTACCTATCTATTTCAAAACAATGTTTGATTCCGGTTATTTATTTTTAACCAAAAAATAATTTTACTTCATTGGTTTGTCCCGAAGTGAACGAAACTTGATAGGTGCTCGATGTCCAGTCTATATAGTGTATAAATATTTATTTCTTTATTTTAAATTCTATGTATTAAAAGTTTTTTTTTTTTTTATTGAAAACATGTGCTTTTGTATACCCATTATTCTATTATAATATTCTTTTTTAAGGTCGTTGTATCAAATAACAGTTCTTAATAAATATTATGCTATTTTTTAATTAAACATTTATAAACAAAACGAGTATCTAATATCCATTACACGAATATTTAATATATTTTTGGTCCCGTTATTATTTATTTATTTATAAGTAAATTATTTACTTGAATAATTAATAATTATATAAAAAAAAATGATGATAATAAAATACATTTAATTATATTATATTAATTTAAACTATTTATGTTTATAAATTAGTATCATATTTTTGATTTATGTTCATACACAAACACTAGCAAAATATACTAGAACAAAGTAAAAATATATTTTAAAGAATTAAATAATTTATAAAAATATAATATAGGTAGTACCAATAAAATTATTAAATTCATTTGATTTTTTTTTACGTCATTTTAACGTTTTATATAATAATATTATGACAATAAAGAGAAAAAAAGAATAAAAAATACTTATATACTTAAATATACCAAGTCAACTTACATTTTCCAACTAAAGAATTAGAAGTATGGTATCATAATAAAAATAAGCATTAAAATGGCTTAAAATAGTAAATTAAAAATACATTTAAAAAATTTGAAATGATAACTTATCAAAAATAGTTGTTTTGTCGATAATATTTAAAAAAAGTTAAATGCAATCTAATTAGTCTAATTAGGTTGTTTTCCATTGTTAATGATAATATTGACGCTGAAATATAAAAAATTTACTTCAACAAAAAGTAAAGTTCTTATGCAATTGTGCCTTCTTTATTCTCAATTAAAAACTTATTTTAATAATAACTTTTCTTTTTTTTTTTTTTTATTTCATAAGTGTAAATTTTTATCAGTTTCCTTGATTTAATATTCTGCATTGCTCATTAACTGGTTAAAATATAATTGAAAAATGTTATGAATATTTCTACTATAATTAGTAAAGTGCAATTCGAATAGGTAGTCGTATATGAAAATGTAATGTATATTAATAACGCCAAAATATTGATTACTATTTTAATAAACATATTGTGATTTATACTCTTTAAATGCAAATTATTACTTTTTGACAGAAAATTTGTCAATGTCTCGAAGAATATTAATAAATTCATTAAAAAATCTCAACTTCACTGATTCTATTTCTACATATTATTAAACACCGCTATTGTATTTACAGTAATAACAACTAATATAACATCTCAATGATTATCCTTTAAAAAACAATATAAAATTAATTTTAAAACTACCCATTTAATAATAATTATTGTAATCAGACATACCCTAAAAATGAACAGTTTTTATTTGAATACTTATATTGACAATACACAATGACTTACCTGAAATTCAAAGGTTATCTTCTTTTTTTTGTTACTGAAGATTTAATGAAAGAATGCATAAAGATCTAAAACAGAAATAAAAAAAAATATTTTTAAATTATTTTTATAAATATGTGTTATTTTTTACTATTCTCTATTATAAATAAATAATAATAAGTTATTGTAAACCAAGAATTTAAAACAATCAATAAAAATGTTCATTTTATTGATTTTTGCAATATATTAATAAATATAACTATGAATAGTACATACACATTTTAAGAACATGCTACAAATATTTTAGATTCTAAGCGCAATGATGGATTTATGGATTTCACAATAATTTGTGTCCAATGTCTATATTACCTTTTAGAAAAATAAAAGTAAGTTAGTTTTCAACTTTAGGGAGTCAACGTCAAAAAAGTGCCTTGTACTTTTCAAAACAAACAAAATAGTTATGAAAAACTGAAATATTTATGCAAAACCCAGTTTTGCTAAGGTTGATATTATTTATTTTTTTTTTTTGATGTAACACAAAACGAATATCACTATTTTTACGAATATGAATAAATGAATACCTTAAATGTTCATCAAATGTTTTTGTTAGAATTTTCTATTTTGATTTTTTTTTTACCTAAATATAAACATTTAACACTTTAATTTTTTTTTTTTTTTGATTATTTTTTCTAGTTTCTATAAATGTTAATAAAAATATTTCAATTAGTCAAAAACCTTGAAAATTTTATTACAATCTTCCTCATAAATTATTACCATAGCTATATAAAAATATTTAGGATACATATAACTGATTTTATTATAAGTATTCGAAGTTTATTAAAATAACGAAAATTTGCAAACACAATTTTAATTAAGAATTCATTGAAATTATGTATAGCTATAAGAGTTAAAAATTGAACACAAAGTCTTGACAATTTAAAAAAAAAAATATGAGCACGTATTTCTTTTAAAGACATTTGAAGTTGAAACGAAATCAGTTATTTAAATAAAGAACAAGGATTGTAGTTATTTTATTCTTATTTAAAAATATTATTCGAAGGGCAATTGAAACTTTTTAAAGTATATTATTATATTTTAAAAACATAATAATGTTTTCAGCAAAAACTAATTCTACCTACCAAATTAATGCCGTAAAATAAATTACTTTAATAATAATATAAATTTATTATAAAATATAAATCGTAATATAAATTAACCATGTAATAATTTTTCGTATTAAATAGTTTTTGATTAAATTCAAATTGAATATAATATATATTGTAGTTAGTAGTTACTTACACCTCAATTACGAAGTGAATTCAATACATTTAGTAGAGCAGAGTGATTACCAACTTTTTGCTTGTTTAAAGAAAAGCTTTAGGTACTTGTAGTGTTTATCATTATGTGCAATAAGTAAATGGAAAGTAATAAAATAGCCAGTGAATGATGAAATCACCATAATTATTGATTTGCGAAGACACTCAATGGTTGTATTGCACATACAATAAACTTTTTAAATATAAATTGAAAACCAGTTGCTTTTACTAGAAGAAATTTGAATTGGTTTCAATAAAAAAAAAAACCTTTATCTGCAAAAATATAGGTTTAAATTTATTGACTTATCGCGTTTTTTAAATAGATTTAAATAAATAGATAATAAAAAAGTATATTATTAATTTTATATGAAAGTATAAAATACAATTAATATTTTATAACAAAATAACTTATGTATCACAGTGGCAATAAATTGATTAAAAATATAAACTGTAAAAAATAAGGTTAAGATATAATTCTTTAAAATTAAATTTTATAATTACGAGCGTAAACATTTGTCAATTTTAAAATCAATTGTAATTCCATACCAAATGATTAATTAAATATATTTTATGCATTAATTTAATATTATATGAATACCATATGAACAATTGGTATAAACAAATGCAATTTATAACTACATTTCTAAGAACTTTTGTTCGATGTTTACATAAGATATAATACATAACAATATAATTACCTAATAAAAAACTAATCACTTAAAAAATAACACATAAAATTAATAATAAAATATTTTATTTTCATTTGGTAACAATGTTTATAAAATCACTATTTCATTTACGGTTATGGCATCTAGATTAGAGTTGGGATTTTATTTTTTGAGTAAATCACAAGAAAATTAATTTTAGTAGTTGTATAGCTTAAAATAATATTTGACAAAATAGCATAAATGATATGGCAAAAAATGAAGTTTTATATCAAAATTCAACTTAAGTACCTAGATAATGTAATAATGTAAATGTAGTTAAAATTTCAATAAAACATGTATTGGACACTCAGACTAATTAAACGGTACCTGAAAATATGTAAAAATAATAAGAATAAAATTATAAAATTGACAAATTATTCTCGCTGGCTTGTTAGTAATAAAACCTTACACTCCGACCTGAAAATTAAATATGTAAACCAAGTTACAACAACTGCCTACCTTAAACTACACGAAAAATTCAACACACATACTAACCCCAACATAAGACACCTTGCTTCACTCCACATCCCCAAGAATCCCTCACATAGACTTAAACGAAAATGAATCAGAGACCTTCTCCATTAAAAACTATATTCTCCTAAAAAAAAAAATTCCCATCAGTAGGTAGCTCCATTAGGATCCCTCCTACACCATTCCTATATCATGCTATGTAAACCACCTATATTATTAATATTTGTTATGCAACATTTTGTATAGCCGTATATTTCTTACAAAAAAAAAAAAAAAAATTGACAAATTGTTTTTTTTTGGTATATATTAATCATTAATAATTAATGCAATTGCTTAAAATTATTTTATACGTCGAGAGAGACAGTAAATCAAAATTTTACTCAACTAGTTTCTTATATTTTATGATTAAATTAAAACATATAATATTTGTATTGTGTCAAGGCATTATGAATAATTATATTAAGTAGGTAAATGTTTATTGATATTTCTCACAATTTTGAAGACATTTTGAAACACACACACACATTATTATGTTAGAGTTAATAATAAACTGAATAAATAATAAATAAGTGCACAACATAAAAAAATTAAAACTATATTCTATACTATTAAAATCATATCGAGTTACATACATACTATTTTATATTTTCACACAAACAATGAAATTGTTATATATAATTAATATTGGATAATAATCATATGTATTATAATGTATTTATGTATAATATATATATATATATATATTATAATATGAATATACTATAGCATTAAGAAATATTTTTTATTTTGTACTTTTTAATTAACGCGACTGCGCTTGTGACGTAATAAATCAAATTACCGTGAACTAATGTATTTTAAAAGTAATATTGTTCATTTTCGTAAGATTATATTTAATTCTTCCACGATCTAGTTACTCTTGTATAACATGACCAAGTAAACAATTGGCTGGTAGGGATTTAAGAAAATCTAAATTAATCCTATATAAATACTGAAACACCAAAGTCACAATCGTCAGTTTACTTGGAAACACAAGTCTCCTGCAGTGTTCATTCAAAACCGAGTCTTTATCCAAAACAAACGAAAAAATGGCAACTAAGGTAAGAATCACCATAAACGTTTCTAAGTGTATATTTTATTTTCATACTTACAGCAGATAAACACAGAGTTTGGATAATATCGTAATATATACAACGTTTTTATGCATAAACTTTTAGTCGTTTAGTATTTTTTTCAAACAAAATAATACCCATGTTATAACTACTACGTTTTTACGATTACAATAGCAACGATTCACATTCACATTTTATCTTAGCTGTTCATATTCGAATTTATTCATTCAATGTATTCTCATTATAGATTTTTTTTTCAACCCAAACAGACTACTTGAATGGAAATTATTTAAATATTATATTTTTATCTGCAGACTGCAATGCGGCCAAATGTCGCGGTTAGTTTACGGTTCCCAGTTTTGGACCGAAAACTTTTATATGATTAAAGTTTACATAGACTACATTAAAACCCAATTTAAATTGTAAGATAACATTTTTGATATTGTATTGGCTCATGAAGGTGGCTATTGATAATTTTAATGAACATAAATTGATTGAAACTTGTAAATTTCAAATGCTTAATACTACTAACATCAACTGAATTGTTTTTTTTTTTTCCCCAAAACTTCTTACTTATAGATTATATGATATACATACGTCATACTTACATACGACATCCCTATACCTTTTATACACGTTATACTATAATTAAAAAGTCTACTGTTTACAATAACTATTATATTCAGTTACAAGTACGTAGCTTATAATAAACAAAAACATTTTATTGATCCGGCATCTGTTAAATTTTTAATTCGATTAATTTCAAGAATATTCCTTTGTTTTATTGTTATCGCAATAACTACAAAACATACTATTGGTCGTGTTCTGTTTCAAAGTTGAAATTCTGCGTTATCAGTGGCCATAATTATCATAACCTCAATCACACTAATTACTTCAGTGACTGGTATGCTGTACTTAAATCACACTCGAATACAATGAGCGTTCTATGCACGTATTACTATCTAAGGATATGTACCACTGCTCTCCCACACCAATCGCGTATTATTCTGAAGAAATACAACCCAACTATACCTCTAACCTAACGCGAAATGCGTCCAGTCCAAAATCAAAATAGACTTATGAAATATTGCAGTTGATCGTGTTCATCGCCTTGTTCGGGCATCTGGCCATAGCCTTTCCACCTGCGATCCTCGAGCACAGCGGTTACGAGCACCACGACGACGACCACTACGCACACGCACCCACTCCGTATCACTTCGAATACGCCGTGAAAGACCCGCACACCCATGATGTCAAGAGTCATCACGAGTCCAACGACGGTCACGGCAACGTCAAAGGCGCGTACAGCCTTCTGGAAGCCGACGGTTCTACCAGGGTGGTCGAGTACACCGCCGACGCCAAACACGGTTTCAACGCCGAGGTGAAGAAAATCGAAGCGCCGGCTCACTACCATTACGAAGCGCCGTACACCACCAACCACGAGCCCATCCATCATCCATACAAATCGTCCTCGCCATACCATTACTGATGATGCGACTGCCCAGGCACCGACTGCTGCCCACCATCATCTGGCAATCGTGTCGACATCGTTTCATGTATAATATACTTTCATAACGACATTTCTGTAAAATATACTTTTAATAAACCGTTGTTCAGCACTCTATAATAATGTTGTATCGTATTATGATATCGTCGACAAATGCATTAAATCCATACTATCGTGTTTTCCGTTATATGTCATTGTGCGGATTACATTTTATATTATTTTATTTTACTTTGAATAAATCCTCAGTGTTTTGGACAGTGATTGATGCCTGTACAGATCCACTGGTCTTAAAATATCATTCATTTATGTTTTGTTTATACATTATAGTATACAGATCAATTCGTTCTTTAAAAAATGCATGTCAAATGCCGGCCTTCAATATTCGACTAGCGCGTACGCGTAATATAATATTTTCTGACAAACTTGTTTATTGGTGTCCAATGTTCTGACTTTAAGGTTTAATGATATTAGAATATTGTTTCATATTCGGGCAGTCAACGCAAATAAAATAACTAAACTATTTTATAATAATGCTGATCATAAATTAAAATATTGCACATATTTCAGTATAAATATATTAAGTACATAATAAAATTTATTATATCTTACGCGAGTTCAATAACTAGTAGATATATTGAAAAAATCATTGAATTAACCATTCATAATAAATAAATCCCATCAAACTGGTTTCTACCTGCAATTTTAAATCTTAAAAATTACAAAAAATATAATGTAATATTATTATTATATTCACTAAAAAGTAAAAACTTCACTTAAAAAACACATCTAAAACACTATAGTGTATATTTATTTAATATACAATAATTGTACAGATTTGACATATTTTAATATTTGTTGTATATTGAATATTTATAACCTGTATCTAAACTACAAAGGCATCGAATCAATAAAAATTCAAATTTTTATATTTGGTAAGTGCCTTACGTAATGTGTTATACAATTGTGTGTATTAGGTAAAAATATTACTTTTTCTTCGTTTGGCATCATTGTCTACAAAATATATTGATAACTATTTTACTTTAGTGTGTTTAAAATATATGATAATCCAGGTTAATTATCTTTGTTATCCACGGTTTATTAATATAGTTCTAAAAGTAGAGTATACCTTTTTTCTGATTTTCTAATTTATATTTTTGAAACTTGATATTGGAAAATTATTACTATTCTAAAACAACAATAATTAATTATTAATAATTGAAATATTTTATGATTTATCTAAAATAAAAATGTTAATATTAATTTTGTTTCCTTTAAAAATCTAAAATATATAAATAAATCGTGTAAATATTTTAAAATACCTACTTAAACTACTTTACTAATTATTTTCATCACGTATAATACAACAGAATTTTAACATAAATATAAACACATAATCAATACTATGATTGAGTATACTATAAATTGTCATTTTATACTCAATGTCAAAATATAAAATAGTTATGATTAAGTCGTGAAAGATAAAGTAAACATATAATCATGTCGTACATAGGTTAAAAGTCAAGGAAACAGTGAAAATATGTTACATATAATAATATCGAATAGGCAATCAATCAAATATTGAATCTTATAAACAAGATAACTATTTGAATTAATATTATCTTATTTTTCTAGCTACATATTATTATGTAAAGTTATAATAATTGATACCATTGAGAGTCCACCGCATTCATTATGGTTAAATAGTATATAGATTATAAATAACCTATCGAATTTTCTATTATTAAGTAGTATAAAGTTGATAGAAAATGTAAAATGAAATTATGTGACGGTATGTTGTCCTATTATTTAAAACAACTTAAATATATTATAATGATAAATGTCTTATGTAAGTGCATCGCATTGTTGGAAAACCGGTTGTTGATAGAAAAAAGTGTATTAATTTAAATACATCATTAATCAATGCTTGAATTAAAACAATAGTATGCAGTATTCATTATCAATTTGAATATTTGATCAACCATTTATATAAATGGCGATAGAACGTAACACTGAATTAATTAATTGATTAATAGGCATACACTAAATAACTATAGTTATTTAATTAGGATACAGAAAAATCTAATACCCACATAATTTATTTAAATTAAAAACAAAACGAGACGAACAGTATAAAAAGTCTAAATAGGTGTTTAGCATTCGTCTCGCATCGTTTCGTTTTGACACAGGTATTATGATTATATTAGCGGGGTTCTGTAAGAACTACGGTTCTTTGCCAATCTTCTCTAGATATCTTCAAAAGATATTATTTATATAGGTCATATTGACTCAAATCATAGGAAATCACAAATGACATCTCCAATTTTTTTTTTTTTTTTTTTGCATGAAACGTAAAAGTAAAATCGTTTGTGTGCTCCGTTTGATTAAAGACATGTTTACAGAGAAAAGGTAATACAAGTAAGTACAAAATATCATTATAAGACTAAAAATATTCTTATTTTGCCTAAAGTTTAAAATATAATAGTAAGCACTTGAGTACTTTCTTTGCATTTTATGTATGTCAAGGTGTAATAATATCGAGTACTCGAAAAACAATTCTGAGAGATGCACCATTTTATTTATTACAATAAAGAAAACCTACGTAGTTTTTCAATATCGTGAGTGATCACATTATTATTAACATAACACGTCTTCATTCTATCGAGTTGTTGTTGAATAGCTCAAACCGCCGCCAAACACACAACCAACATAACATTCGACCAAACTTTCACTCTCATTGTTTCAATTAATTTTCCAGATTCTTAGCAAAGCAAAAAAAGTGTTAATTTTACAGCATTATTAAAAAAAAATCTAATTACACCTTGTTTAAGTGCAAGAAAAAAATGCAAACGTTTCATATTGTACCATACCTTTAAACATCGGAAACCGAACCTGAATTATACTTTAAAGTGGTCATTCTTTATTTTTCACAAAGTAATATTATAATAAAAAAACCGTTGAAAAACATATTAATAAAATTTCGCCAAAAGTACTATTTCAACCAAGCTCCACTCAGAAATGTGTTTTGACGTGACAATTTATAAAATAACTTCAAATAAAAAGTATGTACGTTGGAAATAAAAATACAATAAGAATATTAAAATTAGTTTTTCACTAGTACAATGAACACGGATAAAAATGTATAGGTGCACACTAATTGGCTACGTAATTAGCGATCACGTTCATAATAAATTGGGTAAACACCGCTGCAACAATCTACAGGTATTTCAAAATTGTATAACTCCCATACGCTCATACAAATATACAGCCACGCCGATATGTGCGTACATAATTTATGCGTATAATATGTTATAAGTTAAGAACGCATATAGCAGAAAATCCGGTCATTTTACATAACGCTCGTCGTCTTTGAAAAATTTTATCTGACCGGGATTTGTAATACAATGACCGACGAATAAAATAAGTGTAGTAGTATTGATACTCATATTGTTTCAAATATTTCAGTTACATTATCGATTTTTATCGCTTTTTAGTTTAATTATATTACATGGTTCCTACTTAAAATAAAAAACAAAAAAAAAAACATATGAATTAATCTTTAGACATATATTAACTGAATTTAAGTGTCAGGTTACAAATTTCTAAGCACTTTGTTTTTTCTTTAACAAACAAATTATATGCATCAACTACCCATAGAAACAAAAATGATGAAATGTTGATGGTTATTTTATGATTTTCATATTTACATAGATAATAATACCATTTAATTAATATGAATAAAATAATATAATATATTATTAATGAAATGAAAATTAAATATTATATATTGTTTATTTGTCCGTTTGTCGGTCATTCTATACATGGCCTGGAGATTATTTGAATGTCCTATTTTCTATGTCGAGCACAATAAGAATAATATATTATATTTTTTGCTTACACGGATACACGGTGATTGGTAAAATGCTATTATTGCCAATACGTAATTTGTTTTATGAAAAATTAAATTTCATTATAATATTATACTCTTCGCTATGGCTTTTGTAAGGACAAGATCAGCCAATCCAAAATGTTAAATAATTAATTCTGTATCACTGACAGTTACTGTTTTTGACCGCACGGACAAAAATTCAAGGTTGCTCTTTTTATCGTTCAACCAAACCCAATAGCCTTAGGTCCAATGTTTCCTCGGTTATGAGGTTGCCATATTAGCTAAATCATTACTCTCCTATGTAACCGGTTCGTTGTATCGAAATCATGGAAGGAGTTAATCGACTGGAAGGGATTAAAGTCATTTGAAACTTTTAGCATAAATAGAGTAAACTCAACAGTCACACTCACCAGTCATTCGTGATCGTTCGATTGTAATTTATTTAAAAAATTCAAAATCACAAAAAAAAACCATTAAAATGGCCGCTAAGGTAAGTGACTTAATTTTTACTCGTGACTATAACGCAGGATTTCAGTTAGACCGAACGCAAAGTCCAACTACCGCAGAATTCATTATAACAAGCCATACCTCATCGATTTTTTATTTTTATTTTCATTAACGAGTATAAAGCCGTCTTCGCAGCGCACGTTTTAACTTAAATTCTTTTTGAAAACCATAAAAATAAATTCATCGAATTTCAATAGGGGTACTTGACGAAACCGACCGCCGACGTTTTCGAGTTTTATGCCGCAGATATATATGTATATGTAGATATAGATGTATTACTAACTATAGAGTTCAATTACTCGTTGTTGAGAAAAAATTGTAGCCTGAAACGGCCAAAAATATGAGGTGAATTAGACAGGAACGATATTTTTTGTAAAATAATCGATATTTATAGGTACTTTCATTAAAACGAAATATTGTACTACATAGTTATTGTTTAAAAGTTACCGTTCTTGAACTACCAGCGAGCGAGTTAGCTATTTAGTTATTATAAATATAGTTAGACGTGTGTGTGTGTGTGTGTGTGTGTGTCTGTCTGTGCGAGGTATAATTTTTGCGTTCAACACGTAATGTATAACCCAACCTAACCATGGTATTATTGTTTTGTTACAGTTGATCATCTTCGCCGCTTGCGTGGTCTCCGCCATCGCTCAATACCCCGCCCCGGCCTACAAGCCAGCTTACCCAGCACCCGCCTACCCAGCACCGGCATACGCCGCACCCTCTTACGCCGCCCCGAAAGCCTACGCTCCGGAACCCGCATACCCACCCAAGCCATACAACTTCGAATACAGCGTCAACGACCCATCCACATACGACGTCAAGAGCCAGTCCGAATACAGCGACGGCAACGGCAACGTCAAAGGATCGTACAGCCTGGTCGAAGCCGACGGTTCCACCCGCGTCGTCGAATACACCGCTGACTCCTACGGATTCAACGCCGAAGTCAAGAAAATCGACGGTGGATACAAGGCCCCGTACAGCGCCCCAGCCTACAAAGCCGCCCCGGCCTACAAGCCAGCTTACCCAGCACCGGCCGCATACGCAGCACCCGCTTACCCAGCACCCGCCTACTCCGCACCGGCCTACAAACCAGCCCCATACAAGGCTTACTAATTTGTCTTCGTCCTTTCGATTTCTATAACACTTTCTTCCGATCTTTTGACGCCGAAAACTAGTCGCCAGTAAACTGCTGTCGTACGACTTGTTGTCCGGCTCTCGAGTCATATACCATGATTACTATTATTATTAATTATTTATTAACCATATTATATTGTAATAATATATAATCATGTATTCTCTCTTCCTTCTTCGTGCATCGTAAACAACATCTCACGATCAAATACCTGTATTTATTGTTGTGTAAATGTATAGTTTAATATATGTTTGCAAGACGTTAAAATCGCACTGGTTTTTATTATTTGTTTTCACCTACCTACTATAAAAATACACTCTTATTTCCGTTTGGTAAAATCTCAACGGCTGCTGTCGTTGTGGAATTCACCACGCCGCAACGATATAGCGACGTGGTTGATTAAAACATCGTTGATCGATGTACTAAAATAATATACTAAATATTATCGGTGAAAAAAACAATATTGAAGTCGATAAATGAGACGTCTTAACAGTTTACAGCTATAGCCTACAGATATAATACATGACAGGGTACAATTCGTAAATGTATAATGATATTATTAATATTATGTTGTGTTGTTACAGAATAGTAATCGATTTAAAAGTACTGTAATCGACGTCTAATATTTAATCATAAATACATTGTATAATTATTATAAATATAAAATATAAAAGTAAAAGTATATATGATTTAAAGAGTTGTACGTTGAGTACTCGTTCCGCTTCAGCAGTTTGACGAATGACATAGTACTAGTACTGTGTTAAAGATACTAAAAATTTTAAAGCAATGATAAATCTTTGCAACATTATGAAGATTCATGAAAGAATTGTGATTCACTAATGTAGTCGTGTCCTTTTTCAAATTTTAAGTGTGTATCAAAAAAATGTATGAATAAAAATGTTCAAAATATATTTTATACGTTATTCAGAATAGTAAAGTAGACATTTTATAATTTTTTATTTACACAGAAATGTTCTCATTAACATTGATTAAAATAACCGCAAAAAAACATTAGTATTATTGATGTATTTATTTGAATGATAAAAAAAATAACAACTATTAAAATAACTCGTTATAAAAACATATGATGATAATTGTTAAAAACCCTGAATAACTATTTGTTTAGGATAAATAAAAATATATTGTATAGATAAATAAGTCAATTATTTCTTGTTTAGTGTTTAAACTGTTATACTCATATAAAAAAAAATCCATGAAGAGTAAAATAAAAAACTTATATTAAACTACTAAGTCTATTAATACAAATGAAATTACAAACTGCTTTGAAGTAAAACTAAAAAAACAAAACCTAGGCCTACAAGTTAATATATAGAAGGCTTATTAAAAATTCCATGTAAGTACTATACCTACCTACTTGAATAATCTCATCAGAAACAAAAAAGAGCTATATACTCATTATTATAAATATAAAAATATTACTTTATTTAGTTAATTTAAATACGTAGGTATTATTTAACCGTGAACAAAATTATTTTAATCGTCTAATTAATTGTTTTTGAAAGCCGTAAAAATAATATAAAAACAAAAATTTGAATAAACACCAATCATTAAAAATAAAAAATGTCTGTGGTCAAATTTCTTGAAAACAATATCAAATTCTCAAATCCCGTTCCATCGTAAGAGTAATAATATAATACCTTTTTCACTGCTCGAATCTATACAGATAATCATGTTATATTTCGTAGATATTAATAAAAAACAGTAATAAAAAAAAAAAAAAACACCTGCTTACACATGCTTTACAATAAGAAATAATAGAAAAACGTATTACACGAATGTTGAGATTTCGATACATTATTTATACAGTGACGCGAGTCCGCCCATTGTTAACCCATAAATAAATAATAAAAAAAAAAAAAAAACGTGATCATACTGAATGTGATTTATATAATATGACCTCCCTGATCACACTTAATTAATTTCCGTTGAACTCTCGGACCCACTGATATACAAGTAAAACACGACATAACCCCGAACAGCTGCTATATTATAATATGCAATTTATTTACCAATCACCCGAAAACTCTGCCTTGAAAATATATATCTATAATGAATCGCATGACATGTATTGGCATATTATAATACACGTTGTGTAAACACATATTAAAGTGTACTGCTATCGGAGAAACAACAAAATTATTTCAACGACCGTAATGATTTTCACATCTTTCCATCTCCTTAAGATATATTATTTTAAACGAAAAAATCACCGCAGAACGATAATAAATTATTGTAATAACTCGTCGCGAGCACTTCTTAAATTAACACTATAGTTAGTAGTTATGCCGTGGTATCGCAATAACACACAATCGCACCTAACCTCCAACATATCACATCGGCCACCTTCAATGGACATAATGATACTTACTGTAGTGATTACCGATATACTTTTGAGGCTATTTTAACTGTTTGCAATTATTATGTCACGAATAATAATAATTGAACGTCCTATAATAAATTCAAATAAATCATATTAGTGTACGATTATAATTTAGAATACGGAGGTCAAGGTTTACCATTCACTATTAAAATTCTGAATTACGATTAAATAAAAATACACTAATCCTGAAACATTGTCCGAATCATGCGTAGTTTAACGTTTTGTATAGATAAGTATTTTTATTATCTTTCTTTATTTTTACAATAATTGTATACAAGCCTTGTGTATGACGTTTGAATTAGCAGTCGAAATGATGAAAGTAGCCGACTATACTTTCATAAGCTTAAAATTACAAATTACAAATCACAGATAAATGTGAATTTACTACCGATATTATGTTGGCATACTATAAAGAGTACTAAATTATTAATTTGTAGTTGATCCAGTTTACATTGATGTGGACGCGTGGGACAGAAGTTTTAATTTATCATTTATTACCTAGTTGTAATGTCATATATTTTATTTTAAATACCATTTATAGAAAATTCAGGTTTAATAAAAGGTCATACTCAATAAAATAATGATACAATTACATAAATAATATAATATATTTTTTTAGTCCGTAGGGCACTAAAACAAGTAAGTTTACACTCACACCTCTTGTTTAATATTATCTTGCCTAGCCATCTAATATTGGCACAGCAATCCATTTTTCTCTTAAATAATTCAAATGATTTTTCTGTCAAATAGATATTTACTTTCAATTGTAAAATTATAATAATGCAATGTTTTTTTTTTTTCATTTTGTCCCCGTTTAAAAATACATTAAATTGCATAGGTATGATAAACCAAAAAAAAACTTCTTTAAAATGTATAGACTAAATTGTTTTCATAATGCGATAATAATAACTTGAATAATTATTTTATGTAACAGTATAACCACTTACTCTTGGACGCTCTTTAAATAGTGTCCAACTGAAAAACGCTCAATTTATTAAATTATACGTTGTATTAAAATTGCTGATTGGTTAGGTATATTACCTACTTATAATATACCATCGTAAAACTAGTTGAGGCATAAGTACTACAATTATTATTTTATGTACACTACGTGTATAATTATAATATCATAATATATATTATTATCTTATTAAAAACTATGAATAGATATATCGTTAAAATATCTCCACATATACATGTATAATAAAACCAAATTATCCATTTTATATTCGTTGGAAAATGTAGGTAGTGAATAATATAAATAAACATTATACATGATATTATATATATATATATATATTCAATGACACAATGTGCTCATCTAATAGGGAAAGCTCAGCGCACCTATTATGCCACCCATCGAGACTGTAAGTGGTGTAATACCGCCTACTTTAATATTGAACAGTCAACAAAAATGGTCTATTAATGATCAGTTAACAACACTTGTATCTTAAATAAAATAATACAGTTATAGATGTATATTTATTTTAACAACACAGTAGCCACACCAATATCGATCTTTTTCGATAAACATTTGCTTAACATTATTACTTTTTTTCAAATCAAAAAATTGATTTTTCAGTAAGAACTTTTTAATAATTTTCAACGATATATCTATACCACCTATAAACACGTTTTTACGGAGACACAGTTAAGATACGTACATTTATTTAATAAGTATTTAAATTTTAGATACCTACTGAATGATTTTAATTTAGTTTTTACACGATTCTAATACATTTTGAGTGAGTGGAACAGAGATAGAGAAAGAAAACAAATAAAAATAAAATAAAATACAAAAACATTATTACACATTATTTATTATTTAAATCATATTTCGAATGTAAAACAAATCTTACGTACGTATCTAAAACTCTTTAATCGTCTATACAAATTTTTATTAAAAATATAAAATAACTAATAAAATGCAATATATTTAAAAAAAAACTTAGTGTACAATACACACTGAATTCAAATTTAGAATATACGAGGATGTTACATGTTATTGAAATTCATATAATTAAAAATTGTTCACTATTTTGAGAAATATTATTTTTAAATTGAGTGTAAAAAATATTTTTAATTAATTGTCTTATCTCAAAAATATTTCTAAAATATAAATAATATATCACGAATATTTAAATAAAACATTAATACTATTTGTATACAAATTATAGTTAATTTACGTATTAAAACCTAAACATTTAATGTAACGTGGCGTATCACATTGTGTTTATACCACAATTAATCTATATGTAAAGAACATTTATAAGAATGAATAGTTCTAAATATAATATATAATAATCATAATTAACAGTAAACGCATGAAACTATTTGATTATAATAATACTAGCTGTTTTGTTCAAAATCACTCTTCGAACTTTATAATTTACCAAACTTTTAAATAATTACAGCTTTTGTTTAGGTGAATGAAACTAGCCATTTTTAAAGTTTTTTTTTTCAATTATTTATCACACTATTCTGAAACAACTAATATTTATTTTAATCCATCCGTTGTATTTCTATATTCGTAACGCCGTTATATCATCACGATGACCGTGGCGCTGGTCGTGTTACCATTTTAGTCACCACTTGATCAATTTAGATTTTTAACATGGCCATAATAAATATTGTATACCTTTTATTGTCATTATATGTATGAGTATTATGAAAAAGTTCTCGACTTGATGGGAAAAATTAATGGGCAATAATGGACAAAATCAATTTATTCCTCTCGTATAGTATATTTTCTGCGTAGGTACACGTCAATTTAATTATATAACGTATATCGGGAAAATATTGAATATAAAATTAATATTCTGTAGTTTAGGTAGTTACCAATAATATTGTAGTGTAATATAGAGTTACTGAAAAATATCAAGTTGTGACCAAGCGCATTAATTAATAACTATTATTGATGTGCTCGCCTGCACAATATTACTAACTTCCAGTATATAATATTTACGCTTGTTAATTGCGCGTTTTATTTTTTTTATCAAATTTATTTAATTACCCTCTCCACTTATAAAAGATAACTGAAGTAATAATCAAAGACTAATAATCGGAGTCAGATAAAATATCATATTATATTTTCAAAATGTTTCTCAAAATATTTATCATTGTTAAGCCACCTATTAATTACCTTTCATTCCATTAAAATACTTAGTAAGACAAATTTAAAAACATTTCCATTCGATTACGAGTATATTGTGGTGAATTTTTAAAATATTCTCTCTATAATTAAACGTAGGTTTAAAAAAAATAATAAGTCAAAAAAAATCGATATACCTAAAGTTGTATTGGCATATTTAAAACAGCTAAAAAAAAAAAAAAAAAATTCCAGATTCAGATATTAAACTACTAGTGTTATCACTTAAATACTGTATACTAGGTAGTATTATATTGTGTGCTTACAAAACAACAAAAGACATTCAGCAAATTATTCTATTAAAAACCATGATACAATATTCTAAACATAATAGCATATGGTTCATGACAAGCGAAACTTTACATAAATACGAATATTTCTTGAAATATTATATTGCTGCACACGAAACGTACGTTGGTAATTGATGCACATTACGGTAGAATACAAAATACACCACAGACGGCAGTTGTAGTTATTATTACGGACATTCGTAACCACCAGCCAACGTATAATTTAAATCATTTGGAAATAAATGTTCCACGGGTACTGCAAGTCGGAGGCACTGCAAACGCGAGGCAAACCTTTTTTTTTTTTTTTACTCTCCTCGATACCAAATTAACTCGAATAGACGACGACGTGTCCTTGAAGATTTTTCCCTTTACGCCGCCGCCGCGGCCGGACACCGCTGCAATTGTGGCACGGAGCAAAAAGAACGTGTACAGATATAATAATCTACCGATAACCCGGTATATACGCTGCAGTTGTAATGGCTTATATCGCAACCGGTTCGCATAGGCATACGTATACGATAATGACAATAATAATAGTAATAATATCAAAACACATATACCGCAGTGCTATACCGTACAGTAGCGTACCTATAACCCATAACCATATCGAAACTCGAAAGTATGTACTTGTTGGCAGGTACGCGGTCTTATCCGGGGAATACGCGGCGCGCACAACCGCATTGGAAGGGATTGCGGACGACAAACACGGGCATATAAATACGGCGACCGTTCCAGACCGAGACACCAGTTACAGATCTCGTCGTCGTCAAGACTTGCAAATTTTTGAAAAAAAAATAAAACATAACGCACAAGTACACTCGAACAGAAATGGCAGCTAAGGTAAACGTGAACGACAAATCACGGTTTTCGTTGTACGCGAGGAAACCGACTCGCGCCGACGAAATGTTGTCTCGTCATGAAAGCGATAACAGTATAGCACTGAGGTACTGTACGATTTACCCACCATAACCTGCGAGCTCGTGAATCTCCACGACTCGGCGGCTGTAGATATAGCTGCTCGCACATCGTCGACTTGAGACACTGCTCGTCGTCGTCATTAGATTATCCGTTCGTAATTGCGTACAAGTCAAATAAAAAAAAATTAAAAAAATACTGTTACCGCTTGGACGAGACAATATTTTCGTTGCTATTGTTTTTTTTTTTTTTTTTTTTTTTTTTTTTTGTCCTCCTCGACAGAATGTTATTACGTATAATATATTATATGATGTTCGTTTTATTATTATGATCTTAACGATTTCGTTTTCACAGTTGATCGTCTTCGCCGCTTGCGTGGCCTCTGCCCTCGCCCAATACCCCGCCCCGGCTTACAAACCCGCTTACTCGGCGCCCGCTTACCCGGCACCAAAGGCTTACGCTCCGGAACCCGCCTACGCACCGGCCCCGTACAACTTCGAATACAGCGTCAACGACCCACACACCTACGACGTCAAGAGCCAATCCGAATACGCCGACGGCAACGGTTACGTCAAGGGATCGTACAGCCTTTTGGAAGCCGACGGCTCCACCCGCGTCGTCGAATACACCGCCGACGACTACAACGGTTTCAACGCCGAAGTCAAGAAGATCGACGGTGGATACAAAGCCCCGTACAGCGCACCGGCCTACAAGCCAGCCTACCCAGCACCCGCTGCCTACCCAGCACCAGCTTACCCAGCACCGGCTTACAAACCAGCCCCGTACAAGCCAGCTTACCCGGCACCGGCCTACAAGCCTGCTCCGTACAAGGCGTACTAATCACACCAGCGACTCGTCCTGGCGATGTATCGCAGCACCACCACTCCCAGACTAAATCTCTTCGCCGCCGGTGAAACCGTCGCAAATATTATCGATGCCAACACCCGAACGATTCGCATGTTTATTGCGCCTGCGACGCGCGTATAAATATACATTTTGTAAATAGATCTTAATAGACGACATCACATCATCATTATTATAATTATTATCATTATTGCCTATATTATACGATCCGTCGTGATACTATAATATTATAACAGCCGTGTCTTGTTTTTCTTTCAAACATAATATTACACCTCTGCAGTATCCACTCTTGGTATACACTCCTTGCTGATGACACTATTGGTGTTAAGTACGTCGCGATCACAATGCGATAATTAATTAATTATATTTACTCAATGGTGATAGCACTCGATGTGTTGAGCGATGATTTGCCATAGACGCCGAATAAATAATATCTGATACCTACCGTTTGCGCGGTTCGTTTGACGTAAACGGGGATCCATACGACATTGTCGTAGTAGTATTAATGCGTTATTATGGTAATACGCGTGAGCTGTGTGGTTTATCTCGATAAAATTTATCGATCGTCTACTCGACTCAACGTCCGTGTTTGTGTAATGAGACCACGCATTATTAAAAACACGTAAAGATAAAAATTGAAAAAACTTAATTTATAAAAATGCAGATGTTATTAATTTTAGTGGACACTTAAAAGTGTTAGTATACGAATAATAATCTACTACCTACTACTAAAGTGCTTAAAAAATATTTGTTTCGTTGACAGAGCATGTATATAAGGTTATGCATTGTTTTGAACCATATGGACTTTCCAGATAGTGTAAGTTTGTTTAGCTATATATTCTTTAAACATTGAAAACAACCTATATAAACCAATACAAAATAATGTTTTACTTGGTTCTCATACAAATTACTTTATTAAATAGTTATCGTTGTACGTACTTCATATGCAAATAATAATGTACACTAAAATATAATAGATAAATACATCAATTTCAGTGCTTATTTTCAAAATTGTACAATTAACTCAAGTTGATTTAAGATTTAATATTTTTAGTTTATTAGTTTTGATACACAACAATTGTATGATGTTTTTAGGATGTTGTAAACATTATAGCAAAACTATAAGTTAACAGAATATATCGCATTAAATTGAATTGAAGTCAAATAGTCTATTTATCAACAAACGTTATGATTATATATGAACATACTTTTCACTTTTTTAACACATATTTTTTTTTTTTTATAAAAGTAATGTATTTTATTAATTATATATCTTCATAAAATTAATAAATCATAATTTTCCAAGTAAAGCAATCAATTAATTTCTTAAGTAAATACAGCAGTGTGAAATAAACGACTTTGTCTTCTATTTTTATACCCAAAATAGATTAAAATATACTTAGTGTTTTTTATAGGCGTTGACATAAGGTCTGTATATTATATAGCTGAAGGTTAATAGGTATCATTTATCTCTGAAGTACTCGCAATTTGTCTACTATATGTAGTATTTAAGACGAGTCAGCATTATTTGAAGCATGAGCATTTCAAACTTTGAAAAATATTTTTGAAAATACCAACGTTCTCTCTCGCGTAATACTGTTAAACCTTCACTTCGTGTACAGGTTCAACACACTATCGAAATGCCCAAAACTTAATACTCAATTATCTAGTAAGTACATTGCGCACACCGCTCTAAATTTTAAAAGTAAATATTGAAGTATTGCCATACAAGAGCTGGCAATTATTATCTGCACGTATTTTATAGTTATACATTTTTTGAAAACAGTACTTCACTGCTATAGCGATAACATTCGTCGTTCTCGAGTAGCGCTCTCGGACGGAATTTCCGCTCGGTGCGGCATAATTAAAAAATTGTATTATTTTGTGTGTTGAATAACTGCAGCTGATATTATAACGATCCCCATAGATAGGTCAGACCTCGCAGTTTACAGTGCACTTTTTTCGGTCCACCGCGATAAAATAATAGCACCTATCTATAGGTACGCTGCTCCCCGTGAAAACAACGCGTTCGTTGTATTAGTCAACAATCGAAATGCAGCTCGCTGCAGCAATAATATTTATTTATTTATTATTAATTTATGTGGCTACGATACACGTATAATATTGTGTCTATTAATTTATGCGCGTGTATGTTTTTTCGTCGTGAAATACGATCTAATAATAATAATAACAATAATATGCGCGTGCGCCGCTACAATATCACTATGATAATAATATTGCCTACGTATATTGTATTGACGCCCATCGCGCGAATCTAGCCGTAAATCATTCCGATAAATCGATTCGAAGATCTATATATATGCGGCAACAGCCGTGTTTGCCCACAGGACGTTTGTCCTTTTGACTGCAGTTTATGAACCGTGTAATGTTTATTATAATACGTACACCGTGTGTACAGGTACTAATAACGTGCACCAATGTCGAATAATGAAAAGGAATGTGCGGTATGCCTATAAATATATATATATATATATACTATTTATACATATTATAAATCTCGAGAGAGGAAAGAAAGAGTGAATAATAATAATAATAATGAAAAATAAAAAAAATGAAAGAATATAACTGTATTAGCGCGCATAATACACATAATATAGTGTACACTTCATATAAATGAATAATATAATTTATAAATATATATATATATATATAACATTATACCGTACCTATGTTTGTATATTGGGTCAATGTCAGTGGAACCACGCGCGCCCGACGTCCACCAGACGCCCGTTAATACCGGTTTATGTCTTTTTAATGAACATTCGCATTATGTAATGTTTAAAAATGATAGTAAGTTTTTGTCCGCTAAATAACCATTTATAATGCACACATATTGTGCTCGTGTGAGCGTATATCCATATGCATAAATCGATTGATTGACAGTAAACATTTGACAAGCCGTGATATTGTTGTATATTTAATAATATTAGTCTATGATGTATTAAATATTTTTCTATACTCGATCGCGCTAACGGACCAGGTTTGGTTTCAAATAAACGCACGTTTGTTCTCAAATCACATAAATCAAAATTGTGATTTCATTTGGACACCAGTGAGTGAGTCGTGTTCGATTTCGCAATGTTTACAGATTTTTCGGCAATCGAATTTTTTTATTCAATCGCACATATTATCATAATATCATACCTACGGGCTACGTACGGGTACTACCGAATGAATGGTACACGCTCATTATTTTTCATTCCTCTAGAATTATTTAAAGCGTGGACGTACCTACAAGTAACACCGAACGTATTTCAGAATGTAAACTTACTTGTTATTTTTCAATTTTTTTTTACAAATTATTAATCATTACTATTCAAAATTACTATTTTTGTCTAAATTTAAAGTTTTTACACAGAACGCAATTATTATTGTTATCGGTGAACTAATCAACACATTGTTGCTTATCTCTAAGTTTTTAAGTTTACTTATGTTATAAATTGACATGTGAAAACAAAATATAATCTATACGGATTTACAATACTAACATCACTTCAAAATACTTAAATGTTAATAAACAAAGTTAATGAAACTGTGAAACTTTCAGATTTATATTCGATAACCATAAATAAAAATGATCAACTACACAATAAATTGTATTAAAATTGTATCATGGAGATTTCGCGTAGTTCCTATTTTTATATAAGCTACAGAAAAAATAAATTGATATAATGAAAATATTAAAAATATAACAGTACATAAATCAATAATTCACTGAAATATAACTCACTTCAACTTATTACATTTTATAAATTTTAACTCGAACAAGAAAATCAAGAATTTATTAACTATTAAATATTATTTCTCATTTTCTAAATGTATAAGATAAAAATTGAAAAAATAAATACCTATTGCGACTAATTATTATTTAATAGTTAATACATAGATGTAGCAAAATACAGTTTTATATAAATATTAAATATAAATTTTATATTAACAATATTAATACATTTTTGACCACCTAGAATTTAAGTGAGTACTCCAATGTAGTAGAAAACAGTGATCTACAATAATTGGCAATAGGTATATACGTAAATGTATTAAAATTTAAATCATCGCTTCATTGCTGATTTGCATAGTTCTTGGATAGAAAAGCAACGTGAACTTATAACTTTACTAACTGTTGTTTTTATTACAAAATATGTTATACATTTCCATTTTATTCCTCAAGCCACGATTTCCATTCTTACAAGAAATCTTCATAATATTCTAAACATATTTTCCAACCAAATTCTACTGTGATGCTGGCAGAACAATATAACATATGATTATGATTTAATATATTCACATAATGACCTACTTTTTAAGTTTTCTCTAGATACAATTGAACATAATATTATGATCCCTATAACAATATTGACTATTATTAATTCATTCAAAACGAATGTTTTCCATCCAATAGGTAACAGGTCAGAAGGTTATACATACCTCTTTATTGCACTGCGGCCAATGATGGATGTATCGATGATATTATAATGATTCGGTTTTCGGCCAACCCATATCCCGGTTAATGGACGTAGCAAATCACGATTCATATTCAAGGATCCGTTGTAATTAAACACAGAACAATGTGTTGTAATAATACGTGTAAGACATACATTTTTAATAGAGTTTTCAATAACTGAATATTACTTGTTATGACTATGATTGTCCTTTGAATACATTGGTACTACGGACACGATGTAGTGTACTAACGGGTATAATTTATAATATTTCATAGATAGACAAATAGAAACCATGTTATTAATACTATTATAATATGTAGTTATTCGGATTGTGGAAACTATTTGATAAATCAATTTGTTGAAGAAATACTAATACTGTTTTAAAATAATATAATTATAAATAATGTATGACCAACACACATATTTATCAATAACTAATCTATAATAATATTTTGTAATAATTATACCTCATATTACAAGCTTTATAATTATTATTAATCAAAACTATTTATTTTAATATTTCAATGGTGAAGTATTCAAATAACTTAAAAGGTAATGTTAAAACAAATTGGTTAACGCAAGCAGTTTTAAAATAAATTTGAGAACTGTTAAATTAACGCTTCGGGCTTAATAATAATATTACTAAGCAAATCAACAAGTTAATAATGTTATAGTGGTGAGGTATTGATTTTTCAATTAGATGGGTATTTTTTTTTTTTTTTTTTAATTGTATAGTGCGTGTGTTCTTAAATACTTTTTCT